GTGGCAAACTCAAGCGGAGCAGTTCCAAACGCCAGGGCTGAGGCCACAGGGACGATTTTTAAATTGTGAGGGAAACAGCGACATCTGTTGGACACTGTGTGAACTACTAGTTCGAGGTACAGTGTCATTGGGTTCTACAGTCCTTTCCATTATGTCATCTATTGGTGAAGCTGCGTTCTGTAGCTGCTGCTGAAATAAAAGCGAGTATTGCACAAAAATCAGTGATTCTGAAGTTCAGAAAGTTGTGCAGGGCCCAGTACGTACACACATTCCCCTAGTGAGTAATTGCGGCTATTTTAAAATGACATAAAAATATTTTTCCTTTCAATATTTTTGAAAAAAGGTTGTTTCAAATATTTTGAAAAAAACGTTGTTTTTTCAAGCAACTCTTAAATTGTTAAGATATAAATAGTAATTGTTTGGACCTAAGCTACTTAATACGCAAAATTGTCAGCTATTTATTTTGACCAAGGGGTGCAATGAAAAAAATTAAGACATGAAAGGCACTGAGAAAGTTTGGGAACCTCTGACTTAAGGAAGATTTCTTGTTGTTTTCTTTATTTCTTCGAAATAATGGGTCAAGGCCCTTGAGGGCCGTAGTTGTGTGTAGTTGGACTAGGAAATTCTCAGACTAAGTCTAAATCTAAACCTATTGCTTATAACAAGCAAAACTTTCTCCATGCCCTTCCAAGTTCCCTCATTATTTTAAAACTAGAGCCTAAATCTCTCTCTCCAGTTTAATGGCACATGGCTACACCATCAGCACCCGTTATAACTTCGGTAATTAAGGCCAAAGGAAACACACCTCTCAGCATCTCGAATCTTGTTTCTCTAAAAGAAGCCAGGCCATGTGGGTCAGCAGACTTGGCTGGGAGGATCATCGTTTTGCCAACATCCACGCCTAATAGGAAATTCTCGATGGATGACTTGGGCCAAATAACTATGGCCTCAGAATTACCTTTGTTTTCTCCAGCAACATTGTATATGTACTGGGGAATGAGATGCTGCAGGCTGGGTTTAAGCATGTGTGTGTGTGTGTGTGTGTGTGTGTGTGTGTGTGTGTGTGTGTGTGTGTGTGTGTGTGTGTGTGTGTGTGTGTGTGCCTGTCACAGACGTTTGCAAAGATGGTATCTTCTGACATGGAACTAGGATCTTCCCAAGTCAACACTGTGCTTGGTTAATTTTTATTAGGTCTGGAACCCAGGACGATGCCTGGCACACTGAATAAATGTTTGTAGCTAGAATACGGACATTAGTGAGTAATGTTATCTGCTTTGCAGAAATGGGTGTACCAAAAAGCTAAAGAAGCCTTAGCTTCAGGGCTCTAGAGACTTGTAAAAGTGAGACATTTTAACTGCAGTTTGTTAAAAGTATTATCACTTTCCACTTTGACTTAACTCTCCATCATATTACCTTCCACTGACTGCATGTTTGGGGAGACAGGAGCGGCAGCAAACATCTTGGGGACCAGCCTCAGGGAAGCTGAGTTAGGGTGCATTTGGTTTGGGTTTCAGGGACTGTTCGTGTGATTGACGTTCACTGTTGTCTATAGTTAGGCCAGCCATCCTGGTGTAGAAAGAGGCCTCAGGCATCCCTTTGCCCACTGTGAAGGACACATCTCAGGTTGGGGCCTAAAGTCAGGGGAAGGTCAGGGGCTAGATCATGAGAAAGCGTCTCACGGTGCTCAGAGCAGGAGGAATGTGTGCAACAGGGGAAAAAGACTTGGAAGGGAAGGTGCAGGACACTGGTCTATGGGAAAGGCTTCATTCATCAGGTGCTAAATCATGCCCTACAACACCTAGTCAAAAAGGACCTTCTTTTCTGACAGGTCAGAAAAATCAGGAGAACAGAGCACACAAGACACATTTACTATACTTTTTTTTTGATGGGAATTGCATGACTTAGAGTTTATCACAATTTTCTTATATGCCAGTACTACACACAGCAAAGTCGTCCGTGTATAAAGTATTACAAATTTTATGCCTATCAGCTGGTCAGCTTGCATAGTACTGTATTCAGTTTCCTATTCTGATGAAGTCTGGAGGCTCCAGATGAACTGGTATGCAAAATGGCCATTGAGTCAGCAAAAGTGCCTGAATTTTCTAAATTGTCAATAATAAATAACAAGTTTTGAGCAACCACTGGAAGACTGGTTTACTTTTAATCTCTATATGAAAAACTATATTGTAAAATATTTTGTGAAGAGGTGATCAAAGGGTGTGCAGCCAACAAATGTAGGAAAAAAGAGTATTAGGTAGTAGATACAAATGCTATTTTTCTGGATTTATGATGATTTTGGTTTGATCAGTTTTATAAAATTTGAAATTTGTATCGATTTCTTTTCTCCCTCTAAACAAATATGCCCTTTCATATCTAATTTTGCACTCAAAATTTTAGAATATTTTTCTTTTGGCAAATAGACATTTGATGTCTTAGTGCTTGTTCTTCACCATACGAGAACTAGTCACTCAGTCCCTCCTTATCGCTTTGGTGGGAAATTCACTGTTTCAGCCCCAAATGTTTCTAAATAACATGGGACTATCTAAGAGCTCTGGAGCTGTGACAACTTTAATCTGCATAACCCGATGTCACAGGGGATCTTCTGAAACAGTTCATTTCATTTTAAGTGCTGCACATTGTGTCTTCTATTTGAAGACCTTTTTAAGGAACAATTAGGATTCCAAAGTTAAATAATTTCAACCTGCCCAAGTGGACACTATCAGCAACATGTAGACTGTGGGAAATGCTACAGTCTTAATCAGCAACCTGGTTTCTTCTATTTGCAAAATTGCAAGGAAAAAAAAACAATGGACTGGGAAATCTGTGGATTAAAAGAAATTTAAAAGACCAAGCACAAAATGGATCAAAGGCCTGAATGTAAGTCATGAAACCATAAAAATCTTAGAAGAAAACATAGGCAAAAATCTCTTGAATATAAACATGAGCAACTTTTTCCTGAATGCATCTCCTAGGGCAAGGGAAACAAAATAAAAAATGAACAAATGGGACTACATCAAGCTAAAAAGCTTCTGTACAGCAAAGGACACCATCAGCAGAACAAAAAGGCGACCTACAGTGTGGGAGAATATATTTGTAAATGACATATCTGACAACAGGTTAACATCCAAAATACATAAAGAACTCACATGCCTCAGCACCCAAAAAATAAATAACACAATTAAAAAATGGGCAGAGGATATGAACACTTTTCCAAAGAAGAAATTCAGATGGCCAACAGGCACATGAAAAGATGCTCCACATTGCTAATTATCAGGGAAATGTAAATTAAAACCACAATGAGATACCACCCCACACCAGTTAGGATGGCCAACATAGAAAAGACTAGGAACACAAATGCTGGTGAGGATGCGGAGAAAGGGGAACCCTCCTACACTGTTGGAGGGAATATAAACTAGTTCAACCATTGTGGAAAGCAGTATGGAGGTTCCTCAAAAAACTCAAAATAGAAATACCATTTGACCCAGGAATTCCACTTCTAGGAATTTACCCTAAGAATGTAGGATCCCCATTTCAAAAAGACAGATGCACCCCTATGTTTATTGCAGCACTATTTACAATAGCCAAGATATGGAAGCAACCTAAGTGTCCATCAGTAGATGAATGGATAAAGAAGATGTGGTACGTATACACAATGGAATATTATTCAGCCATCAGAACAAAACAAATCCTACCGTTTGCAACAACATGGATGGAGCTAGAGGGCATTATGCTCAGTGAAATAAGCCAGGTGGAAAAAGACAAGTACAAAATGATTTCACTCATCTGTGGAGCATAAAAACAAAGCAAAAACTGAAGGAACAAAACAGCAGCAGATTCATAGAACCCAAGAATGGACTAACAGTTACCAAAGGGAAAGGGACTGGGGAGGGTGGGTGGGAAGGGAGGGAGAAGGTGGAATAAGGGGCATTATGATTAGCACATATAATGGACAGGGGTCACGGGGAAGGCAGTGTAGCACAGAGAAGACAATTTGTGATTCTACAGCATCTTACTACGCTGATGGACAGTGGCTGTACTGGGGTATGTGGGGGGGGACTTGATAATTGGGGAAATCTAGTAACCAAAATGTTGCCCATGTGATTTTATACTAATGATACCAAAATTTTTAAAAATTTGAAAATTAAAAAAAAAGACCAAGCACAATGTGTGGCTTTATGTTCCAATTCAAACAAACTATTAGAAAATGACATTCGTGAGTCATTGGAAATCATCTGACTATTCGATATGAAGAAATTAATATTACTTTTTAGATGTGAGATGGTTATATTTGAAAAGTTGTGTCATAGTAATAGGTAAAATATAAATAGATAAAATTATATGTCTGTAATTTGCATCAAAATGTGGATGAGAAGTAGATAAGGCAGGTTTGGCCTACGTTAAAGTTTGAGGATAAGGGGTATCTAGAGGTCCATCATACTATTCTTTTTTTTTTATGTTCAAAATTCTCTGTAATGAAATATGTTAAAATATTCAATCTGATTGTCAAATCCAATGGACAGAACTCACATAGGATGCCAAGACCATCACTGATTGATGAGAATCTTTTGGATGGTTGTAGTGCATGTCTTGGGGAGTTAAAGTATTACTGTTAAATATCAGTAAGTGAAATAATTTCCCTGTTTCTATTACTAAAATTAAAAATTGTGTGTAAATTGTATAAACTTACTTTGTTTCATAAAAAAATTGGAATGTTTTATGGTTTTTTGTTAAGTATGCCCAAATATTCCAGGCAGAGTACATACATTTTTTGAAAAGATCAAGTAGCGTTTATAATAAAGGAAGCATTGTTATCCTTAACACGAATGTAATGGTGATATGAAAAACTATCATCTGTCTTGTTGTTGTAATAACAAAACAATTAACATTGTGGAATTTTCATGAGCCCATAATTTTCTTTTTCTGAATGAGACCAATACTTTAGTCACATAGTAGGAAGAAGCCAGTACAAAATGCATTAAAAAGAAACAACTCACTTGGTGCTAAATATCTCTCTGCTTCTCCCACCCCAAATCCCACACATCGGTGTTGTTCTCACAACAGCTCCTGGGTGGGCTCAGCTTCTCTGGGGCTCCTTGCAAGAGCCGGCACAGGGGGCCGGCAGCCCTGAGGGCAAAGCTGAGGCTGTGTGGGTGGCAGTGCTCTGTGCCACACTCCGGGTTCTCAATCACCTCTGCCAACAGGTGAGCCTTGTCTACCCCTGAGTGGGGCACCTAGAAGCCCCGAGCAGAAGTGCCCATGCAGGTATAGCTGGAGGGCAGGCAGGGCAGGTGCACTGGGAGGCAGTCTCCCTTCCCCTGCGAACATAGCAGATGACCTCCTGTCCCTCGAGAGGATGCAAGCTGGCAGGTGCTCTGGGGTGAGGTTCTGAAGCACCCCGATGCTCCCACAATGGCAGATGGTGCTCAGGGACGGGTCATGGAGCTGCTGTGGGTTCTGCTGGAAGTCGGGGGTGAGGACAAGGCCATCGGAGGGCTCTGCCTTCTCAAAACCAGTACTTACCCCTGTATCTGGTGACATTTGACACTGCTGATCACTGCTGTGTGCAATTCTCTCCTTGTAATTTCTATGCGCTCCTAACTTGCTGGTCATTTGCTCTCAATCTCCTTTATACACTCCATTTCCTCCGACTCGCCCTTCACTCATTGGTGTGTAATGGAGAGAGGGCTTCCATACTTGTGATCCTCTTCTCTTGGGATTATGAAGAGGCGACATAAACGAAAAGATCTTGGGCACGGTAGGACCAGACCCAGCACCGCCTGCTCCCCCATCCCACCCTCCCAGAACAAGTGCATACACCTACCACAGAAATCAAATAGGTCAGCTCAGAAAACACTTCAGGAGGAAACCGTCTGACTTCATATGGTTTTATTTTGCACAGAGTAGCACAATTGAAGTAGCCCTTCAGATGAAGTGGAAATCTAGGTATTTTCATACCAGCCTTGATAAACGGGACCGAAATAGTCTAAGAATGACCGCAACAACTTTTTGGACGAACTCCATATATTTCAAGAACTTGAAATCTTTGCTACCAGAGGCACTCTGAAGTTTCTCTTCCTTCGAGTTTGGGGGGAATAGTCCAGCGAATGGTTTTGGGTTTAATCTCGAGGGAGTCTGCTGATGTACAGGCATAAAGAAAAGGCCGGCCTTGTTTTCTTTCAGACAGAGAGTTGGTATTCTCTTGGGGTTTTGATGCTAAACTTATGCTTCCTTATGAAGTAGTCCAAACTTTCTGCCTCATAATCATATGTTTTCTTCTTTCTTTCGTATTTCGCTTTGCTCTGTGCACAACTGTAATCCGTATTCCACTGAATGTTTTTCTTTCCAGATGAATCAAATCTGGCCTTCTTTCTTCCTTTGCTTTCTGGGTGCCAGTGAGGTTTGTGTTGGCTTTTTGCAAGATGTAATTTAATATTTGATTCCGTCAAGGGAGCTGAAGAGCAACTTGTTCTGCTCCTTGGAGTCCATGAATGCTCCCCTCCCCTGGATGGACTGGCAGATGATACAGATGGAACTTCTGCAGCCCTTAATGAACTAGGATACAACTGGTCAGGAGATCGCCTTTGGGAGGATGAACTCTGTTTCTTGCTTTTGCGCGTTTCACAGGAAGGGGGTATCACAGCAGAGAAATGTTTTCCACAGCTTCTGACATGGGAACCTGAATCGTCATGGCTACATTTCAAGTCAGTTGTGATTTGTTTCATCTTGTGGAGATTTTCTAAAGGAATGCCTTTCTGTAATTCCAATAGAATGTTTTGTGATTCCTGATTTAAAGAAGGGTTGGACTCTAAAAACACCCCTGCTTCACTATCCAGTACTTCAAGAGCTGAGTATTCCTCCAAGTTAGCCAAGTGCTCAATCTTTGTCTGAGTATCAGTAAAATTTTCAGAATTCTGAGCTAAATGGGGGTCAACTAAACTAGGGGCATTTTCTTGAATTTTTAAATGTAAAGGCTCCTGTGTATTTGTTTCTTGAAACCATACGTGATATTTTTTTTGTCTTTTTCTGGAGTCACATGAGGTTTTAACTCTGAGAGAATTGTAGTATCTTTCTGGACTGGACCTTGTTGATTAGGGTCTGAAGTATACACATCATCTGGATCCAGGAGTTTTCTGATCGGTGATGAGTTTCCATGGGGACTTAGCTTTTTGGAAGAGATACGTTGTTCTAACAGTTCTTTATCAGTGCAGGGACAGCTGCTTTCTCTGTTATCATCTACTTTTTTACATACCTCCACTGTGTTTAATTTAAGAATATGTTTGGGAAGTATATTTGGTTTAGGGAATGTACTTTCAGTTGGAAGGCCTAGGGGAAAATGAAGATATTTGTATTGTAAATCAAGATCTATTTGATGAAGAGCTTTTTCCTCAAAGAGTAACACAACTCTGTTGTTTTCGTACTTTGACACCAGAATGAATACATTTAGATAAAGGTTTCGTTCTGCCCTGAATGTTGGCCTTTACATAAGACTCTATTACAGGTCTGGGAAGGGCTTTCATTTGAGTCTCTAGTGTTTTCACAGTGAAGTGTCTGAGAAGTCTGTCTTTTCCTTCTACTGAGTATTTTTGGAGAATAGGAGGCCATGGCATCTCAGCAGAAGTCACTGAAGATGTTCCACATTCTAGCTCATTCATACCCTGTAACTTCGTAATGGGCTTCTTTTTGCCACTCAAAACATTAACAGTCAGTGTCTCCATACGGCGGGTAGGAGACGAATCTTCTGGGGATTTGTGTTTTGAATTAAGTTTTATAGTGTCAGTGCCTTCTAGAGACATCTTTTGATGTCTTGTATGGAGCCTCCGCCTGTTATCTTCTGAAATAGCACACGGATTAGCTTTTAGGATTCTATTACACGGGCTAGTATTTCCATTGGATTCTGCATATCTGAGCTTCCCTGCACCTGCAGACTTAGGGGGCTGTAACTGTGAAGGAGAAAAGACTGCAAGCAAGTCTGTGTCTCCTTGGGTCCCTGTATCCACTCTGTCGTGAGACGGAGAAGGTGCGGAAGGAGTTTTTGTCAGACCCACGTCCGGCTCTCCTGTTCTTCCCTGTTTCTGTTCTTTCTCCTTAGAGCTCCATTGTGCTTCCTTTTTCTTGCTCAGAGCCCTGGGCTCGGCAACACTGGACACAGGAGGAGGTGGTGATGTCTCTGCCTTGGAAGCTGTGCCTCTGGGGTGTGGGACCCATTTCATATGTGCCGTGTTTCCTCTCTCTTCTTCTTCCTGTGGTTTGTCCTTCTGTATGGCTTTCATGTCATCCCTAACTGCCTGGGGCTCTGCTAGTTGCCCTGCATCCACTGATGTCTGGAGCCATGGCTGTGAAGTAGCAGGTCCTGTTCCTTTTAGCGTATCTTCTTTCCCTTCTGTTTCTGATTCATGATGAGCTAGAGAAAATTCAGAAGGCCGCTCTGTGGGCAGAACTGCTTCCCACTCACCTCTGCCTTCTCCATCCTCTGTCCCCTGTCCCTTACCCTTTGGGTCCATTTCCCCCTGACGGTCACCTTCTGGGCCTCCTGTCCCCCCCTCTTTTGGATTCAGCGGGGTGGCCTGTGGGAGCATGTTCTTTCCTTTCACATCTTTATCTCTTGGGTGCAGCGCTGCTCTCCCGGCGGCTGTCTTGCCATCAGCCTCCTCTCCCTGTGGCACGTCCTCCCCTGCTTCCTGTGTGTCACCTGTGCCGCCCCCCTCAGTGCACTTTTTGTTTGTTTTTTTCACTGAGTCTGATCGCTGGGGTGATAGCTCTGGAAGAGAGTCTCTTGTTATTTTAGTTACATGGTCTGTTTTCTTTATTCCTCTTTCCCATTTTAAATGAGAAGGAGCTGGCATGCAAGTGTTGGTATTGGTCGGAACCATACTCGGTTCACCTTTAAATTTTTGGATCTTTTTCTCTTGCTCTTTGCTGTCCAACTGGATTTCCCATAAAATTGGTGATTCTTTTTTCTTCAAAGGTGTGACTTTTGCCATTTTTACTCTCTCCTCTTTGTCCTGCATTATATGTTCTTTGGCTTTTTTCACACTATTTGACATATCATAGTAAATAGGCTTCTTAGACGCTTTTTTTCCTGTATCTGATGACTCGTGGAGTTCCAGTTGTAGGAAAGAGGACCTGGTTTTTATGAGCATGGCTTCTCCTTTTCTTCTTGTCTCCACTTCAGAGTAAGGGGGCAAAGAGATGGAAGCACAAGATTTGCTCTGAATCACGACTCGCTCATCTTCCTGCGCCTGGTTGTTTCTGTCTCTGACGTTCAGCTGTAATCCCTGTGCAGTTACAGGCCGCCCAGCCTTCGAAGCAGCTCTTCTTTGGGGACGCCTCATTTCTTCCAAGGCCATTGGCACTCTGTCTCCATCTTGCTGTGGCAGATGTTTTGCCTTTCTAATACTGCTTAAAATATCATCAGTTGGCTCCTTCCCTGTTCCCATTTCATCTGCTAATTCCCGGAGTGTTAATGACGGAAGACAGAATCCCGTTATTCCTTGTATGTGTATCTCCTCTTCTACCCCAGGACCCCCTTCCACGTGAGGTGAAGGAGGAATGGCAGCATGGGACTTCCTCTGCACTATTCCTACATCACTTTTCTCTTTCTGCATCCTTTTCTCTCGTTCTTTATTGTTCCACTGTGATTCTTTTCCAAGCAGTGTGGGTTTAATAGATGTTTTCTTTCCTTTAGGACTGATATGTTGGAGATCCATTTTGTCCTTCACATTTACTGTATGTCCTCTAACTTCCCTTTTTTTCTGCGGCAAATATTGTTTTGATCCTATTACACTGCTTAAGCTGTCTCTATTCATTGACTCTGCAGATGATGTTTTCCTGATGTTTGTGGATGCTTGGAGCTTTGGGGGTAGAAGGCAGCTCCTTGGTATTCCAGACTTACCTTTTCCTACTTTTATTCTTAAATCCAAGTTAGGATGTGATAGAGGTGGTAAGAAAGTGCAGAAGTTTGTCAGTTCCCCACCTGATTCACCTTTACCTGTCTGTGCCTTACACTCTTGTTTTAAAGTGTTCAGCAGCACGGGCAATTCCATTCTATTGAGTACACGAGACACTGATGGCTTCTTTGCCTTCAAAATAACATTGGGATTCATTATTTCTCTCCTACTGCCTTCTTTTATTCTATCCTCCTTTCTCTGTGACATACATTGTTTTATTGTTTTTACATTGTTTGAGATAATCCCATCAGTTATCTCTTTACTCAGTTTGAGGTGAGGTAAAGGAGAGATGAACTCAAATGGATTTGTCACGACCGTATCTGGTTGACCCTTCCTATGTTTCACATTTACCATCTTCTCATTTATGTCCCACTGTGGTACTGGTCTGCTGCTTGGGATGACATAGTCCATGCTATTGAGTGCATTTGAAAATACTGATTCCTTCAACTTCAGAGTTCTTAGGGGGTACGTGATGCCTTTCGTAACTCCTTGTTTTATGCTATCCTCCTGTCTTTTAGTTCCAGGCAAAATAGGCATGTAGGTAGAAACAGAATGTAAAAATATTCCAGGCAGACACATGGCCTGTACCCTTTGATATGCCGTACCTCCCACCTTCCTTCTGACTCTGAGCTTGTGGGAGCTACTGTTTGACAGCAAACGAATTACCCGTGCCTCGTTTGATGATGTACTTCCTTCTGGAAATGAAGCAGTCAGATGTTTTATAGTTTTACTGTAAGATCCTAAAGGCAACATTGTATTTTGGTTTTTCTTTTGCCTCAGAGGAATTGAGGGCACAGTCCACTCTGGTCCATCCTCACTTACAGTATTTGGTTGATCTTTAGGAAACAAGTCTAGGCCTTTTGTCCTGCTTGAGATACTCCCTACTTCTGGCAATGCTTTCTTCGTCTGAGGTGTGACATGTTGTAGGAGCTGGGGGTCATTTGGGGAGTAAAACATATGCTCCAGAAAATTCTTGTGAGGATTCAATAGGTGTTGCTTGTTTTGTTCCATACTGAGTAAGTTTTGTCTTGTTTTACTTTTTTGAGTATATTCAGCTATGACATCCATTCCTTTTAATGGTTCTGCAGCCTGTGGAGTTGAGTATTCACAGTGCATCACATTTGTGTCTAATTTCACTTGTTGCCCTGGGGTATTCATTTCACGTAGACCTGTTTTGGAGTGAGATGCACCTTGCTGTTCTTCCTTTCCTGTCAAAAGCGAGCCAATTCCTTCTGCGTGTGGAGTGCACTCCGCAGTGCTCACTGCTTCCTCTGATGACTTCTTTCTACTTGGCATCTTATTTTGAAATCTATCCCTCAAAGGGTTAGAATTAGGGTTTGGAAGAATCTGGGGTATACATTCCAGTCGCTCTGTTTTTCCTTCAGTAGGCAAGCCACTTCCTTCCGTATTTGCAGTGTGGTACTTTGGCCTCTCTGCTGCCTTTTGTGATTTCCCTACGCACGGCAATGTAATCTTCAGTACAGCCATTGGAGAACGAGAAACAGATGTTGGAAGACCCTTGCCTGTACTTTCTTTCTGGTACTTTTTTCTTCCACTAGTATGCAAATTAACTCTCATGGAGCATGGAGGTGGGTCTCCTGGAAAATCTGCTTTGTTTGATGCTTTCTCCACCATTTGACTCAAAAATTTAGAACTCATTCCTTGTGCTGAGCCTTCCTTCTTTAGCTGTTCAATGTTGAGATGATGTAATATGCAAGAGGAAATGACTCCCAGAATAGTTTCTTCATTCTGGTTAGAACTATGTACCTGTTTTGCCCTCAGTTTTTTTGAAAGGTTCACTTTCTGTCCATTTGCTTTTAACTGATTATCAGTTAATTTTGATTCCTTTTTCCCCCAACAATTTACATTTAAACTTACAGGGATGCTAATGTTTTCTTTCTTTCTTGTATTTACTGCCTCTTGTGCATGAAGAGGTCCCCTCCTGAGACAAGATGTAGAATCCAGAATGCGCTCAGGAATGTGATTTGGTTTCACCTCTCCTTTACGCACTGCTGACATATTTTGCTGGATCTCTAGATTTGTATAAAGATATTTCTGTCCTTTGGAACCTTGTAAAATATCAGTTTTTAATTTTTCCCTTCTCAGTAGCTGTGGAATGTTTTCTCTATTAATGTACATATCTTCCTCAGCTACCTTTACAACGTTTTCAAGATGAGGTGGTATCGTCTTGAGATAGGAAATTGACCCTTGATTTGTCATTGAAATACTTTCTCGTTTCAGCAATTCTTGCTCTTCACAAGTCTTCTGTTGAGAAGCATCCAACTCTGCAAGAAACATATTCTGTTCTTTTGCATGTAATGAAATAGCAGTTTTCTCTGATTCTTCTCTTCCCTGTGGAACAATGTCTGCATCTCCTTCCTGTACTCTTTGTGCAATAAGGGATTTACAGTCTGTAAGTATTCTGATTCTTGGGTTGTCCAACCTGCTGTAACTGGTTCTCCTCTTCCATGGAAATAGATCAGGATATGCTTCTCTTTCCAAATTTACTACTAATTTGATGTGGTTGTCTTCCTCCTTCACTGGTTGGCTAATCACTACCTGATCTCTACATTGTAGGACAATGTCTTGTAAGACAATCTGGCGTTTTTCTTTTTGCTCTCTAACACACTGTTTCAGCTTTTTAGGATTTCTTGATGTAGCACTCTTATTACTGAACTGTAAAGGTGGCCTATTTCTTCTGTTTAATGATTTCTCCAGCTTTACCTGTGCAGGAATGCAGATGCGCTCTCTTGGCTTGTCTTTCTCCCTTTTTATTTCCATAAACTCTTTAACTGGAGACCGAGTACATCTAGACTCACAAACAGTGTTCAGAGCTAAATCTGCTGCAGTTTTTCCTTCCTTGAACTCCTCCTTCCGGCTCTTGATGTTACTTCTCAGTTTCTTTGTATTCCTTCTGGTTCCATACCCTGTAGTTTTAAACAGGTGGGATGCAGGTAGTTCCTGGGCCTCCAATTTTACCTGTTTGGTATGCATAGTGTTTTTCACATCAGCTGTTTCTGCCTTAGCTTTATGTTTGATGGTTTTAGGATACACAGGCGTGTGGGCATAAGGCGCACTCCAGAGAGTTCCTGAGACACATGGTTCTGGATGTTTGTCGTGCAGCGCGAGGTGTTCTAGCCCTGTGAGCTCCATTCTTTCTCTTTGCTGTGATGAATCCTCACACTCTATTGTATTAATAGAAGACACATCAGTTAGTGATTTCTCTGCCTTTGCAGTATGAATCTTGGGATTTGCTACTGTTTCCCAGTTTGCAGTTTTAAATTCTTCCTGCTGCTTTTCAATCTCAAGTAGATGTATCTTAGAGAAAGAAACACACTCCGGACTAAGATGTTCTACAACTTCTATGTTTGTTTCTTGATCTATTAAATCGATGTCCGTTTTCTGAGGAGTGGTGTCCGTGGGGCACACTGTATTGATTAAGGGTGCTTGTGATTCTGCAGGACCTGACTCCCTCATTCGACATGCTCCAAACTCAGATGCCTGGGTATACCGTGGAGCTGTTCTAAACAAACCATGCTGTTCATATTTTTGTTTCTCCATGACTTTTACTTTATTTAGGATGTTTCTCTTTTCAGAAGATTCTTCATGGTTACCCCAGGTACCAGGTGACCGATCCATCCTTGTGTGTGGTGGAACAAGCATGGAGGTGTGTATAGACTGTAGGTCTGCATTTAGTACAGTTTTCTCTCTCTCTCCGTCTCTCTTCTCTTCCTGTTCCTCATTCATGCTGAAAGCAGCATGACCTGGGGCACTAAGGGACTGTCCACTCACCGGCCCCTCAGCTGGCAACCCCATCTGTGGGGGTTGTACGTGACGGGACCTTGATACTCTGTCCGTCTCTGTTTTGAATCTGCTTTCAATGTCAGTGGCATCCCATGGGGAGGAAATGGTCTTTGGAAATGTATCGGCTACATGTTTTCCTTGCTTTAACCCTTTCATTTTGGTTTTGAAATGGGATCCAAGCTCTCCCCTTTGTCTTATGGTAAGCTGCCGATTGAGTTTGGGTATCTGTGAAACCGGTGGCTCCTTTTTCTTCAGAGTTAAATGTTGGGGATTCAGTATGATTTTCTTTTCTGATAAGTGCACTGTGTTTATCTGGCTTTCGGAGTCAGATACAACAGGCATGAAGAAATCTAGAGACCCTACGTAAGTGGCGGCCAAGATTTCCTCTAGCCCTGCCTTTTCCTCTGTAATAAGACCATTCAGATCTTTGTGATGTGTTCTGTTACATAGAACGCCCCTTGCTACTGTACTGAATGGGTGTGTTTCACTCATCAATATGGGTAGTGGAATCCCAACTCCCTTGGCGGCACAGATGAATGCCTCTGCCACACTCTCTTCCCATCGCCTCTCTTTTGTCCTCTGCTTGAATTTGCACCGCTTACATTTCTTTTCAGGGCTTCCTGTAAGACTTCTTTTGCCATTAAGCAACTGGGAAATTAGTAGTTTCTTTTCCTTCAAAGTTGCATGCTTGGGGCGCATACTTTCCTTGCCGACAAACTCTGTGTAGCTCTGGCTTTGGGGCGCAAATGAATCAAGGCTGGAAAAAGCTAAAGGTTTTAAGACTGTTCTTGCTAAGTCACTTTCATTCCATGCTTTTTGCTCAGAAATAGGACTCTCTGATTTTCTCCCAGGATTTCTATCCCAGAGAGTATCACATTGCATTGAACCAGTCTCTGATTTCCCTGCTTTTGGAGATGGAGTCTTTAGACCTACCATCCATTTTATTCCTTTTTGAGTATGAGTATTATTTTTCACTGTTTCGACTTGAAGTAAATTCATTACCTGTCTAGAAACAGTCTCCCAAATAGTTTCTCTAATGTGCTTTTCTTGCCTCGTCTTTTCCACTGTACAAGGCGCATTGCAAGTCCTTCTCACTGCTGAGCTCTTCAGTTTAGATTCTGATTTGCAATGGCCAAGGTTTTTCATACGATGGGCACTGAAACTGAAGTTCTGGCTATAATGAGGGACTGACTCTGGCAACGTTTTTTGGATATTTTCCTCTTCCTTTTCATGTTGCACATACATTCTCATGGTATTGCTGTATCTGTTTTGTGTATCGGTCACACTGGCCTTCCATGCTTCCCTATCCCTGAAATAGGTATGGTTGTGTATTTTCACTCTTGGTTTTGGTGTGCTGTGTACTTTGATACCTATTTTGTTATGAGTTGAAACAGGTGTGGGAGATGAGAATCCATTAGCTATACTTTTATTTTGTTGCATGTCTTTTATCAAAGGTTTAAAATTACATTCCTGTTCCTTTCTACCATGTAGATTACCATGCTCAGGGATATTAAACATCTGTAAACAAACAGGCTTTTTTGCCTTCAAGGTTACATATTTGGGACGTGTAAGATCTTTCCCTTCCGGAAATTGTAACAACCTTTTCTGCCTCTTGTATTTAGGTAAGACATACGTCACGGGCATTGTTAGTAAATCTCTTTGTAGCTCTCCTTGTGTCATGGCAGTATGACCACCCACTTTCCTTCTAGAGTGTTCATCACATGGGTTTCCAAACACTGCATTCCCTGCTTTGGTAGGTGGGATACTTGGATCCACTGTGTATTTTATTACTTTTTGAGTCTTTTTGTCTTTCTTGTCAAGTTGTAGGGAAACTGCACTGGGAACATCCAGCTTCCTTGCAGGGCTCCCATCAGATGTAGTTCTATACTCTGTTTCATCAAGTAAAAGATTGTCAAACATCATTTTCTCTGATTTTGGACCTGGGATCTTTTCACCTGTTTTATGGAGCATGTCTTTTTGTGATGGGATGCTCTCCTTCAGCCTTTCTGTTTGAAATGGAATCACCAGAAGAGAACAAATAGAATCCAGTGCATTTTCTGGAAACTGTGTTTCTTGCTTCATTTCTTGCTCTGTAATAAGCACATGTTGGTCCTTCCCATTTACTATCAGGATTTTTAGACCTGCTTTGAATAAAACTTCATTGCCTTCTTTTTCATTTTGCCTTCTTGGTGCCCATGAGCTGCTTGAGGTAGCCCATTGGTTAGGGGAATATGTATACAGTCTTTTCCCTTTGTCTTGATTTAGCTGCTTAATACTGCCCTTTTTTCTAAATGTGCTTTTCTTTGCTTTTACTTCCTTATGAATTCTGATGGCAGGTAAAGCAGGTGTAGGTGAAAGGAAGGTGTTCGTAGGTGTATCTGGTGCACCTTGAGGTATTCCTCTGGCCATGTTTTCCAAGAGGCAGTCCTGTACCCTTCCATGGCTGAGGGCACCAGACCCAGCAATGTTCATCATTTCTGAAACTGATGCCCTCTGTGCTTTCCCAGTTCTAGGCTCAGGGATTTGCGCTGCATTTCTCCACGTGATAAACTCAGATGAAGCTGGCATGGAGAAATCAAAGGACTCTAGGGTGCTGGCCTGCAAATCCTTCTGTAACCTTATCTTTTCCTCTAGGATAGAAGCAGCCGGTTTCTTCCGAGGGCCTCTTTCAGACGGGATGTCACTCTGTGCTGTAACAATTACAGATTCACTAACTGATTTCCCTGGCTCTGGAGATAAAATCTTTGGATCTTTTAAGCCTTTTTGTGTTTTTGTTCTTTTTGGTAGCTTCTCAGATGGAAGTGAATTCAAAATAGAGCAATTCACAGACTGGGACCCACATTGTGTGGGAGGTGCTTGTTGCGGCAGCTCCTGAGCTGTAGTGACTGATTCTGGACCTGTTTTCCTTGCGGGATTCTTCTGTTCTAGACCCGATTTCACAAAGGCAGCCTCTGTCACATTATGAGCATTGAAACTCAAGTGTTGAAAACGCGATAAGGCTGCTTCTCCACCTTTGCCTTTGACATCCCGCACGCCCCCCGAGGCCCTGGCCCACCTATCCCTGTAATCAGCCCACCAGGTGCTCTCCCCACCTAGTGACTGCTTTCGCTGTTTGTGACTAAATCCTGTTTTCCATGGCATGTCTGTCTCTACTTTCTTTCCGTTATACATGTTCATAGCAAAAGAAACAGGCGTGGCAGAGGAAACGGCATTTAGGATTATATCTGCCCCAGGGGCACCTGGTTTTATCATGGTTTTCAAGTTGCATTTCAATTTCCTGCTGAGGTGTGTACATTTTGTGATACTAAATATCTGAGAAACCAGTGCCTTCTTTGCCTTCAGAGTTACACATTTGGCACTCATTTTATTTTTCTTGTCTCTAAGTTCTAGCTTGTTTCTTTTTGTCACAGGTAAAGCAGGTCTAGATAAATCCAGATTCATTGCTGGTAATTCTTGGGCCAATTCTTCCTTTTTCTTTATAGTAAGACCTCCCAGTTTCCCAGAGCATATTATATACACTAAAAAGTCAATAATCTGTGATTTCAGGGTCATCGGAGATAGATTTTTTAGATAACCATTCCCCGGGGTATTAAAGGTCTGTGAAGTTGGTGCCTTCCTCGCCTTCATGACTACACATTTGCCACTCATTTTACTTTTTAAGGCTCTGCAGGTAAATGTCTTTCTCTGCCTTTTAGATTCAGGTGGCCCAGGTGTGGAGACATCCAAAGACCCCGGGACAGTTGCTTGTAGGTCCTTTTTAAACCCTGCCCTTCCCTCTTCACCGTGACTGTCCAGTTCCCACATCTGACTCCCATCACATGGGACATGTTTCACTGTGTCAGTCAAAACTTGACCCATCAGTGATTCCTTTGACTTGAGAAGAGGGAGCTTTGAACTTGCTGTGTATATTTGTGTCTGGTGGCTTTTCTTCGGCCTCTCCACCTGCGCTGGATCTGCAGGCCGCATTTGTGGGGGGAAGTCTTGCTTTGTTAGAAACAGAATTTCCCCACTTCCTGGGCTTTCTGATTTGTGAAGGTCAAGCTCCTCCCTCCGGCCTGAACAGGGTAGGAAATGTTGGCTGTGCGGAGGAATTACTTTTACTGTCTCCCATTCACTTTCTTCTTCCTCTTTACCTTGAAGGCTGCTCTCCTTGGTGTGACCTGAACTAATACTCCCCTCATGGGATGGTATCACTTGCTTTACTGGTTTGGAGCGTAGTCTTTTTTCTCCTAATGTGTCTTTTTCTCTTTCTGTCTTGCTGTACATATTAATGTCAGGCGTGATAGTCTTGAAGGAGTGCATTTTATCTGCCACTTTTTCACCTTGACCCACCCCTCTCATTTTGGCTGTGGGGTTGCATCCCAATTCTTTTCTAAGGTTTGGGTTGGCACCACCCTTGATATTCAGCATGTATGAAATTGATGGTTTCTTTGCTTTTAAGATTCTATATTTTATATGTGAATATTGTTTGATGTGTCTCTTCTTTTTTAATGTACATAAAGCAGGCACACAGAAACCAGAAGCCCCTGGCTCCTCCTGCTGAGCACCACCACCAGCCTGTTCCTTCTGAGGGTCTGCATCTGATGGGACATCACGGTCCAGGGCTGGGTCTGGTGTACCAAGCTGGGTCTCCTTTGCTTGACACCCATCAGGCCAAAGGTGCTGGGTACACTGCGGAGCTGCTTCTAGCAAAGTCTTCTGCTCCACTGCCTCTGCATCTTGCCCTTTGTCGCAGAATGCACCCCTCCTGCCAAAGAAATCCACACAGGGCCGCCTCCCTTCACCTGCTCGTTCCCCCTGCTCTACCTGAGCCTGACAGAAGCCAGTCGTCTCTCCTTGTGATCCGCTGTGCGTGGCAGAGTAAAGGGCATTTAGGAACTCATATACCAGTCCACTAGCTTGGCTGATCTTTTCCAACTTGGTCTTAAAGTTGGAGTCCAGTTTATTTCTATGACCTGCCATTTTAAATATTTGTGAAGTTGACGGTTTTATTGCCTTCATATGTCCAGACCTGGGCTGCACTGTACAGTCTCCTCGTGAGCATCTTACTCTGTTTCTCCTCTCTTTCAGAGGAGTTACAACGGGTGTGTGGCAATTGAAAGTCTCTGAGAAAGTGGCTGGTAAATTTTTTGTTTCTACAAGACAGTGACGCCTCTCCCTTGCATCACGTTCTCTTGTTTGGCTTGAAGGGTCTCCAGTCAGTGGTTTTTCTGGTGTCAGAGGCGGCGACTCAGAATCTGCAGTGCATTTTAAAACTGTTCGTGGTGGTAGCTTCTCCTTCATATTCTCAGCATGAGACGAAGCCATGAAGGGGGAATGAATAGGCTCCATAATGATTTCTGCAGGTATGACTGGCTGATGCATTTCTTCTTCTGTTTTCAGCCCCTTCTCTGGATGTGCACCCTGTCTGGGGTCCCAGCTCTCGGAAAGGACACCTTGTGCTTGAGCTGCTTTGTCCCCTCCCACTTCATCTTGCAATTGAGCTTCCATTGTGTTTCCATAGTTACTGCCATTAGTAATGGAATCTGAACACTTTTCTTCCCTTGCAACTTGTGATTTTTCTTGTTTTGGCTTAATATGTCTGTGATTCTCTGCATTTAATATGCTGGGCACTCTAATACAAGGCAGAACAGTCACGTGAGGGTAAAAAGCATTCAGGAGCACATCCGCCACAGTATTACCTTGCATCATCTGTTTAATTATGATTTTAAAACAGCCTCTCAATATTTTTCTATGACTTGGATTTCCACGTCCATAAATATAAGGCATGAGTAAAGTTACTGGTTTTCTTACTTTCATGTTAACACGTCTGGAACTGAGTGCCCTTTTTGTTCGTGGTAATTGATTTCTGACTTCCTGCCTTTTAAAATATGACACAGGAAGTATGTGGACAGTGAAAGACCCCTGGGCGACTATAGAACCTGGTAAGTTCTCCGATACTCGAAGAGGATTCTGGGGATCTTCAGTTTCTCTGTCCGTAGGTCCATCTGTGCTTTGCTTCATCTTCTCAACTTGAAATGGACCCACCGTGGGGCATGGACTAGTCCCTAAATTTGTTTCTGTAGAAAGAATGTGTGATTGTGCCTCTTGCTCTTCATTTTGAGTTTTTCTACTTCCTAAACTGCTCTTTTCGATTTCAAATTTGTCATATTTGAACGTTTGCTTTAGTTGTAGGCTGAACCTGAAATCCTGTGTCAGCTGTGGAAATGCTTCTTGTGAAGTTTCTTCCTCTTCCTCTCTGTCACAATCTTGTGGCTTTTTAAATATACACCTCTTTTCAAGGTGTTCTGCGTTCCATATTTTCTTTTCTTCTGGTGATTTCTCTTGCTTTCCCAGTGGATGATAAAGCCCTATTCTCGATGTATCTGCTCTAACTTTTAATCCGCTCCGCACTTCCCTATCAGGAGGTGCAGAAAGGGGAGTGGTAGCGGTGTCGGGAAATGCATCGGACGTTCTTTTATCTTGAACATTTTTCGTGTTGCTGCTAGTGTTACATTCCAGTTCCTCACTCGCACTGAGGGCACCACATTCTGTAATGGTAAGTGTTAATGGTTTCTTTCCCTTCACAATTACATCTTCTATTCTCTCTTGATTTTCAACACCTGCGAATTGTTCAGTGCTTTCATGCTTTTGGGTTCCTTGTGAAATGTGCAAATTGCCTTCTGAAGACTTCAGAACAACTTCCGGAAAATCTTTCTGCTTTTGTCTACAGACCTTTGGAAAGCACCTTGGCATTTCCGGTGTAGTCATTGGTAAATTCTCTCCATTTGAACGTGGAAGATGCCAATGCTCTGTACATTTCAGGGCCTCCCACGTTCTCATTCTTCCTTTCCATTCCATTTGGGGAGAGGAAACAGATTGCTGCAAAGGTTCTGAAATGGCTTCTTCCAAAGGTGTCTCATGTTTTCGAATATACAGATCAAGCCTTTTTTTACTATTCGGGCCATGAAACTCTGCAATATCAGTTTCTCTGGCTCGTGCAATTGAGTCCTTAAGAGACTCTTGATTCTTCCAGTTCGTTTCTATTAATGACGAACAAGGTGTTTTTAGTTGACAAGTATTGATAGTGAAACACTGTCCTGGCTGAGGTAGAGTTGTTTGTGAAACGTTTTTTAGTCCTTCATTGTCTCTTTCACACAGCTTTAAATTTTTAGTCCTGCCTGAGGGGCCTCTTTTCTTAGTAGACCCTGTGTAATTGACTTTCTCTGCATCTGGTGATTTACTTTGCATCAGTAGAAAAGGTCTACAACCTGTTAAACCTGTCATGATTGTCACTCGTTTTTTTCTGGAATACTTCTTAATATAAGGAGGAACATGCTTGGGAGCATCCGTAAGATGCAAAGCTGTATCTGACAAACCTCTCCTTTGATGCAATTCTCTCCTCTTGGTGTTGTACTTGCATTTGGACTTGCTATGCCTTGAAGTGTAACATTCTTTGATTTGAAATACCTGTGAAGTTGGTGTTTTCTCTGACTTTTCAGATGTAATTTTGGGGCTTGATTTCCTTTCACTGTGTAATGCTTTTCTTCTTTTTTTCTGCCTTTTAATTGTAGGCGAAAGAGGCACTGAGCCGCCTACAGTGTGCTGCTTACATTTCCAAGCGACTTGCTTCTGGCCCTTTGGCTTGACCCTTTTTCGCTGTGGCATCAATTTAGCCATTGAATGTGGACTGAGAGTTAAAACTAGGCATCTGGCATTCTTAAAAATAGTATTTCGCCTCTGGATTGCATATTTAATCCTGTTTGAATCTTCAAACCGAACAGAATATTGGGCCTCATTGAACTGTTTTTTATTTGACTCTAGGCCCTTGACTGAATCTTGAGTCTGAACAGAATGTGGGACTTTGGCCAAATGTCGGTGCCTGTCCGTCTCTTGGGTCTGGAAGGCATCCTGTGTATTGCTGGAAAATGGTGTCCTCATCAGTTCTTGAGGCAGAGCAAAGTGTCTGACCTTGATATCAGGCTGGCTGTTGATTGAGTCTTGGTTGTTAACAAATTGTTGGGCTTGACTAGTAAATTGGGCTTTGTAAAAACCTTGATTCTGAATAGCATTTTGTCTTGGAAAACAATCTTGTGCTTGGGCAGAAATACCCATTTTAATAGAATGTTGATCCTCAATCAAGAACTCTTGAGGGCTTGAGTACAGACGGGTAGTTTTACTCTCTAATGTAGCTTTGGATTTTAAAAGAATTTGACTTCTCACATTTTCTTCCAGAAGTCTGACTTGGTCTCTAGAAAGAAATAAGTGGGCAGGAGGGCATGGTGTCACATCTAGATCTTCACTTTCTGTAGTGACTCCAGAAGTTCTCGAAGAGTTAAACTCAGAAGAAAACATTACATTTTTATTTTTGTTTTTCATTACTGAAAATAATTTCTTTGATGAAAATTGCATTGTTTCATGTTCATTTTCTGGATACCCTCTATGGCTTAGAAAAATTTTCTTTACTTCTGAATGAAACAGTGACAAAGACGACCTAGTCCCATCTGAAGATGACATCTGACTTTCAATAAAGTAACTTACTTGATAGTTACTTTCACTGGTACCTGCCCATATTATTTCATTTGCTGATGAAGCTCTATCTTCAAAGTGACCTTCATTTTCATCAGATGTAAATGATGAAGTAACTATTCCTTCTGAAAACTCACCAATGCTGAATATTAGAAAACAGTATATAAATGAATTGCCACTTAGGGCATATTTCATATAAGAACTCTATTCTACATTTAAGGTAAACCCAATGCAGTATATGAAAACATAGCTCAAATTTTAAAAAAGAGATAAATTGGAAAGTCATTATCCACATTACAAAATAATTGATTACCTGGTTCCAGTCACTTAATAAATCAATCCACCAACAAAATGAAGTAAATTATTTTCATATCTCAGAGAAAAAGGAATTTTTACCTCTCAGCAATGAGTCAGAGCTGCAGGCTAAAGTTATATCTTTTTATAAGGAATATGTTTGTTTCTGTTCTCTGTCTGAAAATTTTGACAGGAATAAAAATACTCTTATGGAAATTAAGTAAGTATAACAGAAGAATGTCCAAAAACCATAAACTATAGCTATCTATAAACAAGTTCAGATTATTTTATAAAGCTCTTTGTTTGTGATCATGAGCAAAACATATGTTTTAGGGCAATGCTTCTTGGCACAATTTTAGCTTGGAGTTACTATCATGGAAGTGGATTCTCCAACATTCTTTCTACCTCAAATGATTAGGCTAAATCTAATACCATAATCTCATTTCCAAGAGATTTAAGAATGGGCATGAACTAATCCTAGCATAAGATAAAGATTTCAAGGACTTCTGGAAAAAATTGCTTTGTTCCTAAGAAAGACACAGGAAGAAAAGGCCTCTTACATCTTCTGGACATTGCTGCTCTGATCTGGAGGTTCCTGTGGCCATCTTTCTATCCATCTCAAGATGAAATAAATACCAAAAAGGCAGAGGGAGAGACACAGGGCCTTAATGAAGTTACTCGACCCCTGTATCAACCAGTTCTGCAGCCGATTCTACCTCAGGATTTCCTATTACATGATATCATGAATTCTCTTGGCATGACAGTTTGAATCATGGTTTTCTGTTACTTGATAACTAAAATATCCTACCTGTACAGGTAGGCTGTATAAACCATTCTGTGGAATCAAGTGACTTCAACAAGGTTTAGCAGTATCCAGATATAATTAGGATGAAATTTCATCAAGAAAGAGTAGGATGATGCACTTAGGAAAGTGGAACAAATAGTGAAAATATAAGACATAAAAAGAATTAATTTTGCCCATTTCAGGAAAAACATAGAGGAAAGCTGAAATACAAGACACATATTTCAACAATGTAATATTGTGATTTTAAACATAGTGAAACAGTAGATTATTTTCATATGTTGAATCAACCTTGCATTCTGGGGGAAAAGTCCTATTTGGTCATAGTGTATAATCCTTTTAACATGCTGCTGCTGGATTTGGTTTGCTAGTATTTTGTTGAGGGTCTTCCATCCATATGCGTAAGGGATACTGGTCCCACAGCTACCCTGCATACATGTGTACCTATGGGTCTTTCCTGCTCCGCATCCTCTCCTCTCCATCTGGTGAGCTGCCAGGCCACCGTATTCTCCCAGCTGTGCTCCTACCTCACTGGCGGCTCCTTCCCAGTCTCCTGTGATGGTCCCCCCTTCCTACTGATCCCGAAAGTGCTCCAGGGCTGCATCCGTGCTCCTTTTCTCCTCTCACGGTCCCTTTGCTAAGTTCACTCCCAGTGGTGACTTTTCATACTGTCTATATGTCAACAACCCCTAAACATAGTACCTCTACCAGACATCTTCCCCAAACTCCCTTTCGCTCATGAGAGTCTAGTCAACATTTCAGATTCAACAAATGCAAAGTACTATTCCTAACCTCCCCATCCACACCTGCTCCACACGCAGCTTTCTCCATCTCAGCTGATGACAAGCATCTTCCCACTGCTTAGGCCAAACATCTTGGAGTCCTCTTTGCTTCCTCTTTCTCACATCTCTACGAGTATATCCTGCTGAGTATATCCTGAAGCTAGCCACCTCTCACCACCTCCCTGCTGCCACCCTGGTGTAAGTCGCCGTTAGCTCTCACTTGGCGCGCACGCGTTGGCCTGCCATCTGTGAGACCTCTGACTGAATATAGTCTGTTTTCAACACAGAGGGCAGAATAATCCTCTAAAAAATAGAAGACAGAATATATCATTCTCCTGCACAAAACTCTGCAATGATTCTCGGTGCCCTGCATGTCAGCCCCACTGGCCCTGTTGCTATTCCTCAAGCACCAGGCGCACTCCCCCTGAGCGCCTTTGCTCTAGCTGTTCCCTGCCCGGAATACGCTTCTACCACATCTGTTCGGCTAACTCCCCAACCCCTTCATGGCTTTCGCCAAATCCCGCTTTATATATTGCGACCTACCTCTCCCCTGCCTCTGGAACCTGTTTCCTCTTACCCTATCTTTTGTTTTTACGGTAGAACTTATCACCTTCTGACACATAGCTTATTTATTCGCCATGTTACTGTTGGTTGTCAGACTCCCCTCCAACTAAAATGTAAGGCAGGAATCATTATCTGTTACTGATGCATTTCAAGGGTTTACTGCAATGCCTGGCACAGAGGAGGCCTCAGTAAATAGCTGCGGAATGGGCCTCTTCACCTCTAGGTTTCTGATTGCTAACCCTCATCCACAGAAGCTGGCTCAGACAAACAGCCTAACCCTTTTTTCAAGTTCAGTGAGGGAGGAGGAATCCATGCACAAACCACCCATAGATATGGCTGACTTTAATGAAAGGTTGGAGGCAGAAATAGAAAGTAGTTGATTACAGCAATACAGACAACTCCCACTTAAACATTAGGCATGTCTCTCCATTTTTTAAATGTCCTTTGGCCTCTCCCCACTGGGGAATCTCAACTGGACTTTGAAAATTTAAAAAGAACTCCCCACACTCCTAGAAAAACACAGATGGTTCTATAGCCCTGGTAACAAGTACCAGAAGTGGCTTCAAAATCAATTAAATCAGTCATAGTATATGCCTATAGTCATACTAACTGCTTTTAAACAATTTTATCTATGATAACCTACCTTAGGAAATACTCTTCTAAAACCAAACAGTGAGTGTGAGCTTCAAGCTTTGAAAGTCAGATAATGGGTGGCAGAGTCTCCCAAGGGCACACTTCTAAGGCTGAGGTCAACCCTAAAGCAGACTGTTCCCTAACGTCTGACCGATGCGTGATCAGCAGTTGGCTTCGCTTCCTGAGACCATGTCCGGCCAGCATGGTTCTCCCGGATTTCAGATACCTAATGGCGGTCTCATCCTCCAGCACCCTCGTGCCATCCAGTCCCAAGCCTCCCAGTTTCCCCTGCTCCTCCCTCCTCTCTGCCCACCTCTTCCCCTTTCTCTTCTTTCCCCTCCCATAAACAAGACAAAATCCACTCAGTTTCTGATGTGATGTACTGTAACCATTTTCATGCTTGGGTTCCCACCAATATTAAACCAATATTGGGTTCCTGCCAATAATTATTATTAATAATGAATATTCCTTTTATTGCAAAATAATTCAAGATGCTGTCCCCAAATAGAGTTCTGTCCCCAAAAAGAATTCTGGTGCCAGGGTGAAATATTTTTGCTTTGTTACACATTATTATTTTAACTAATGTTCACGATATTCCTAAGAGGTAGGTCTTCAAGCAGCTCTTTGAAAGGAAGCAAGTGGAGGTATCGGCGAGTTTAAGTCACTTGCCCAAGGCCATGCCGTTATTAAGAGGCAGCGCTATAACTGTAGACCTTAAATCCAAAATGTGTGCTTTGTTTACCCTGTAATATGCTGCCACCGAAGGAGCCATATCTCTTCCCTAATCATTTTCCTGCAGAAACCGCCCTCACCCTCCAATCTCATCTTCTCAGTAGGTTTCTTCTAATGACTCCGAGAAAGGTGCCACCTCGGAGGTAACATCCACCTTGGCAGGAATGGGAGAAACGGAGGTCACCTTGTTCCGGAAGCTAAGAATCCTTTCTCCCCATTTTCTTCTGTGGCTTCCTCTATCGCCTGTCAATCCTCTGGTTTGTAATCATATGTGAGCCTTTGATCACAGCACACCCCTCACCCCTCTGTCTCAAACGCTGACTCCTGGTCTGTTCCATTGACTTAAGGATAATCACTTTTTCTGATCGCACTACTGGGGTGCTCTGGGTTACACCGGCTTTCCTGTTTCCAAGCAGCCCTGACCAGGAGTCTACAGACCTGTACCTCCAGATACTGGTACTGCTCCCCAGGACACCCCACCTTACAACGAGAGTTTCAAATACCCAATATGAAAATAGAGCAAGCAACCAGATTAAGTGAATAAAGCCCTTTTACACCTGACAAGTGACAGAAGTTAAAGTAATAGATTCATTCTCCACACAGCCACTAGTGATCTAGCTGAAATAACAAAACCGTGTCACTCCTATGCTTAAGCAGCTCTAGTGATCACTACCACGGGAATAAAACCCAAGCCTTCTAACAGGGTGTAGAAAGCCCTGTGTTCTGATCCTGCCTTCTTCCTCACATTCACGCCCTACTGCTGCTCCTTCACTCAACCTTACATTCTAGCCGCTCTGAAATACCGCACTTCGATGCACATGTGCCACCGCCTCTTATTCCTCGTGCCTGCTTCTGTCCTGGAACGCCTTCCTATCCCCCCGACCCGCTCTTTTTCTGGCTCATTTTTCACTTGTTCTTTAAAATCGAGCTCCACCACAGCCCTCTTCGTGAAGCCATCCCCACCACCCCTCTGATGGCTTCGGTCATCACCTAAATGTTCTCACATTTCTATCGCTGTGTTACCGTACTATAAGGCAATCATCCTTTATGTGTGTCTCCCCCACGGGAACATAAGCTTCCTGAGAACAGAGACTATCTTACTGTTTGTATCCCAGTATCAAATACATTTGTATTTGATAATAACATATAATACTGTATTTGTATTTGATAATAATATACAATATTATGCCATTGTATGGCACATCATCTAATGATTGTTGAATGGATTTGGATGAAAACAATTAAAATACTGAGAGCTACAAGAATAGTGATGTCAGTATTTAATTCCTAGCAGTGATGTATTCTTCGGGATGCTGCTGAGTTCTGGTTGTAGAAACTCCTTCCAGGCCACTCTTGCAGCACCTAGCTTGGGGTCGGCTTGGTTCACATAGGTGCTAAATGTGTATTTTGTCAATTGAATGGTTAAAACTGTTGATTACTCCTTCTCTGTGTGCTGGAGAGGTCGGAGCAGAGACGCAAGTCACTATACCTCTCTAAGCTTTGTTTTCCTCATTTAAAAACAGTAATACTACTACCTGGCTGGATAATAATTTCAATAATATGTGAAAAGCCTTTAACACAGCTTGGAACAGAGCAGTCATTTAAAAGCTACTTTAGATTGCTTTTTGTTGTTGTTTAACATTATGGTGTTGAACTGATGAGTCCTCTATACATATGGGAAAATGTTTCCCTGTAATTCATATGTAAAAGCAATTTTGAATAGAACAAAACCAACCTGTTTCATTTAATTTCAAAATATATCCCCTACCTTTCTTCTGAAGATGAGTAAGTTGACCTATTACCTAGAGATAAATGAGAATTAAAAAAGTCAAAGCACCCATGAGAGCAGTTCAGGCTGAACAAGTTTTATATTAAAGTAAGAATTATATAGTATTTACCAAATGTCATGCTTCTCAGGCAACTGTCTTCCTTCTATTTCATGGGAGACAATAAAATATTAGAGGATTAATCAAAATACCAAAGTTCCACATTTGTAAAGCTATTCTTTTGTATGGGTTTGAAACTATGGGAGAAGGAAATCAGCCATTTGTTGTTACCTTTGCATTTGAACCACTCTTCTCTGGAAGGGCAGGGTTCTTCTGCAGGTATGTACAAATCTTTAGGAGTATGATCTCAAAGATAATTCCTAGCAAAATTATAAAGAATATTGCCATCCAATCATTTTGAGAAGTCCAGGACTCCAGAAGTTCCCATAATGTCAAAAAATCTATTATTTTCCAAGCCATCCTGCACCACCTTCTTAAAGAAATTAAGTTGCTTTGACATTTTACGTAGTATGTGGAAGAGATTGATGTCTCATTATGAAGTCCTTGATTTCTGATGCTCCAAAACACAAAGTTGCTACGCTCATCTCCAAATGGCAGCGCTTTGCTGGAAAACAATCCCCACGGCTGCTCAGTGTCTTATCCAGGGCAGCAGGGACTGCTCTTGGTCTAAGTCAAGTGGGGTACGTGTCATAGTGGGTGTTTAACTGAGCTCACACTAACTTACTGTAGCCATAATGAAAATTCATTGGTGAGACATGTATGGTGTTTTAAGTAGTTTGATTAAAGTTTTGAAAATATTCCTCTATTAATTTTACAAAAAGTACAGTTCTATAACAATATTTTAGCCAAGTTGTGTAACCATCGCCTATACTTCAAAAAACGAACAAATTTAAACTGGACACAACCATTTTATGTTACCACCAGGAACATATGCTTTTATGCTTCTTTGTGATCGGAAATATATACACGTAGGGGTGACAAATGAGAAAAGAAACCTAGTAGGTGTCACTGTTACTATGTAGGACATGCAATAGCTTGCCTGATTTTTTTTCCTTAAAATAGAATACTTCATTTTATATTTCTTTTTGCCAGAGGGATTTGTTGGCAATGCTCCTCTTCAACAATCCACTGGTTAGGCTGAAAACCCAAGTTAGATTTGGAGTGGTCTCCTGGTGAACTCCCTTCCACCCTGTCTCTAGTGATTCCAAGGAGCAGCTACTTGTGATGCTTCCGGATGTTAAAATTTAGGCTGGGGCAGAACCAGATGTAAATACCATTCACTTTCTCCCAAGCCCAGAGTGTAGGCCTGTAAGCCTATTGAGCAAATACAGGACATTCTGGACTGTTAGCGAAAAGTGTTAACACTACCTTGGATTTAGAGTATTTTCCCTTTGAAGGCATAATTAATTAATTAATACTTCCTTTATCTTCACTTATTCAAGGTGGGTTGAAGAAAGTATACAGATGAGAACTGATGGGGGCCTGAATTAGTGACATCTGTATAAACAGGAAGAAGGGTGAATCAGACTTTGAGACTGAAAACCCAGGACTTGGCAACTAAAAGGAACCGAAGGGGTTTGGAAGGTGGTGAGGGAGAAAGGATTTAAAGGTAATCCCAAAGCTGGTTTGTCTAGACCAAGGTTTCTCAACCTGGACACTGCATTTTGGACGGGACACTTCCCTGCTACGGCCAGCTGCCCTGTGCCCTGCGGGGTGTGCTCAGTCACCCCTTTCCTCTACCTGTATGACAATAGCATCTCACCTGAGTCCTGATACCCACAATGTTTCCAGACATTGTCAAACGTTCCCTAATGACAAATTCAGCCCCAATTGAGAACCAATGGTCTAGGTGAGTGGCTGTGACATTAATTGGGCAACCAGAGGTGGGTGCCAGGAGAGCTCTTCGTAACCTTAAACCTGAAGGGGCCACACATTTCCTGGCAAGACAAGAGCAAACCTGTGCAGAATTGCAGATGGGACCTTTTCACAAATGTGCATTTCAGCCTCAGATAATCACTCACATCTTTCTCTAGGAGTTAGATGTTCCCCACCCATGACTAGGTACATAGTTCTTACATGACAAGCCATTTCATTAATCAGATAGTTTCTTATAGATAACTCAGGGAAAAATCAACTTTAAATGGCCTACATTATCCTTATATTTGAACAAGTATCTTTGGCCATCATATTATGCCTATACTTTGCAAATTTGAATATTATAATTACACAGCCTGAGTAGTAACCTTTTAAATCTATTTTTTCATTGTACTTTTATATTATGGTCTGCTTTATAATAAATTTTCCTTTGTATTTTCCTTTTTCCCTTTAGTTTTACTTCTGGTTTACAGTATTAATACTTCCCAATTGATTTATACTTGCTAATAGACCATGATTATCTGTCAGTTCTGGGTATTTTTTTTATCTATTTGTAACTTTTGGTATCAGTCTTGTTTTAAAATCTCAAATGTTCTGTGTTAATTATATACAATTTTTTAAAAACTGACAGCTGTTACTTCATTTTAAAACAATATTCAAGGCCCCCATATTTGAAAATGTATCTTCATTCCTATCTCTTGAGATTTATTAAAAGATTAGGTGAATAGATGTATACATTCCATAAAACTGACTAAATGTACTAGAGTAAAATAAGCAGTTTTCCTTTAAGATGACGCTGTGCTCTGCAAAATTACAGTATTCTCAGTCGCACAGCAATAAGACAAAAGTTGTTGTAACAAAATTCAAATGTTTATTTTTTTTCAGAACAGCTATATTAATGAAAATAAATTATATTTAAACCACCTTTAATATTTGTACATTATCTTTATACAACTGCAACAGTGCTTTCAAAAGGCAACTTGTAAAGGACATTAATTTCACAATTAAAATGTGTTTTAAAAATGGGGGAACATTAAAGAACATTAAATTGGTCTGAAATATATCTTAATGCTGAGAGGTATTCTGTTTTTATTAAATTAACCGTATTTATATTCAAAGTAACATGGCTTTTAGCAAAAGACAATTATTTCTTGTTCATTTCAGTTATTTCCTGGATCCAGAACAAAATCTGTGTATTTATTTCTTTGAAAACATCATTTGTTGACCGTCCTTTCACTGCCATGGAATGATTTGCCTTCTCAATCCAGTGGATTTTATTAGGAGCTTGCATTTTCTGTGTCACTTTCTCCAATAAGTTCTAAAGGGAAAAAAAGAGGATAGTAGGAGAATATTCTATTGGTGTTCAATAAATGTCCTCTCTCCTGCCCCACCTATGCTGGCATCCGTTCACTAAATATTCATTAAATGTTTACCCTACAGACAACTTTAGAGGCAACAGAATGTGCAAAGAAATGTCCACAGAAGTAGCGGCCCACATCTCTGATAACAGCGATGCCATAGGTCAGATCAAGCATTCATTATTGACAATAAAAAGTTAACTGGAGCAAAAAAAAATTCTGATACTTTTTCCCCAAGGAAATGATATGCTGTGGGAAATACACTAATATCTGGTAATATGTACAAATTACTAGCTTTTGCTCAAGAGTCAATCTGCTTCAATGTTGAAACCACATGTACAGTCTAGTCATCCCAATATCACAAGCCTCAGATATCAATCCTTCACTTCCCAAATAAGAGTTAATCATTTACCAACTCTCTTTCCAGGAGATGTCAGTATGCTTGTATTTTTAGGTTGTCCAAAGCAACAGGGCAGCTAAGACACAAAACCAGCATTAGTCAACATCAGCATCTTTTTAAAGAGACTGAATATTCCAGGTAATTATCTCGTTTCAAAGATATTTCTGTCCTTCATTCTTTCTCTCATTCACACAGACATCAAATTGTAATTCACCTTTTCACACATTTCATCTGCTGAGCCTGACACAAACAGTACAGGGCCTTTTATCCGGAAGAGATCTTCATCTCTGAGTTTATGCTGCTGCTTTGGATGGTGCAGTGGGTAGGAGATGCAAATGAGACCTCGAACAAAGCCATCAGCGTCATCCAGCTCACTATGACGCAGTACAGAAGCAGCTGCTCTTGAGCCCATTGAACGACCTAAAATCAATTAAAATTGAGTTCAGCCCGAAACATAAACATTCACATAAAGTAGAGGTGATAATGTGGCAAATTAGATTTCATTTACCATTCATTCATCACATTTGTAAATCAACGAATTACTTAACTCCAAAAGGTGGCAATTAACAAGTTGCAATACCCATAATGGATACCTATAGCCCCGTGAAGAGCTAGAAATAGATACTAAGCAGATTTTTTAAAAAAGGAATTGTTTTTCTGGAGAGTAATTCCCCCTCAAAAGAGGAGGAATCATTTGAGAGAGGGTGATTCAGGGATATAAATAAAAGGATGAATCTTTGGGTTACAATACACATATATGAGATTTAAATTTGCTTTAGTATATAAAGTATCTTGATGTTTTACAAGGAAGTGACTGACCAAAACAAAACAAACAAAACAAATTCCTTCCTGTGATCAACTAATTTTAATTCTCAATTACTCATTCCTTTACGAATATGAGAAGATTTAAAATCAAGTATTAACAAGTATTGCAACTTACCTCCAAGGAAAACACCTGCAAGTTTGTACTCTCCTGAGGTCTTTAGGTAATTCTAGGAAAATCAACCAAAAAATGACCAATTCTTCTCCTATAAAATATTCCACTGGAAAATGACATGTATTTCCTCATCATTACTGAAATGTATGAAAATCTTTGCAATGAAAACCACAAAATCTTAAGGGATTTTTCTTGAAAGAGGTAACCACCTCTTTGCTCTTATAGTCAGAGCTTCACTATCAAATCATATGTTCAGAAATAAGGAGTATATACAAGCAAAATGTCACTTTACCTGTTTAAAAAATTCAAATACTATAATGTTTTTAAAGAAGAAATTATTTTTTTAAAAAAAAGCCAGTAAAAGCTTCCAATACAAAGTTTGATAATAATACTAACATCTAATTTAAAGCTCTCAAAACCTTAGCAAGCTTGAAATAATTTGGACTAAAACAAATTTCAGATTTGTATACAGAAAATCATGCTATATTTGTACATTCAGAGTATAATAGGCAAAATGTCCAGAAATATTTTCTAAAGTTATATAATTCCAATAAGAAAATTACAAAGTGACTTCCGTGGCAGTATCATGAAAAAACAATTATGATGTAAGCATTCATCTCCATGGAAACTGATGGCAAAAGAAAAATGGGACCATGGCCTACATGTACTGTTGAGTTTCTAAGAATACTCATTAGGAGATTTTTAAATTAAACCAACTGACTGCTAATAAAGTTTGTCTTAAATTTATTAAGAATTTAAAACTGAATTCTAAGGAAATATAAAGAAATGTTCTTACCAAAACTGATTTATATGCCTTAATTCTATGTACAATATTAAGGCCTTTACAGGTAAATCTCAGGCAAAAAAACCCATGAGATGCAAGATGGGATGCCAGTGACGTCAAATGAGGAAGATTGATATCTCCTGATGCTCCATGTGTAAGAATTACTCCGTATGTTAAGCTCTTGTTAGGAACCATACAAACAGCATCGAGTAATTTATTTCCAAAAGGTATTTTTAATTTAACCTGGAATTCAAGAGAAAAAAGGAATAAAAAATTACTTCCTTGCCTATTCAGACAACTGAATAACTACATTTGTTCTGTGAGATCCATGATTCAAGTCATGGCCTCCAAATAAAATGCAATGATATTAATAATAGTTAATATTTAATAAGTACTTATTGTGTGTGAGGTACTATTATAAGTGCTTTACATGTATCAACTCACTTAGCCTTACTAGTAATTCTATGAGGCAATCACTATTATTATCTCCATTTTTATAAATGAGAAAATGGAGGCACAAAAGGTTAAGTAATGTGCTCAAGACTGTACAGCTGGGATTCAAACTCAGGCAGTCTGCTCCAAAGTCCTTAATCTTAACCACAAATGCTATGCTGCCCTCAAATACATGATGAAAATAAGGAACTTGCACTGGCATCAATGAGTATTAAAAAAAAAAGGAACCCTGACAGTGCAGAACATATGAAAAGTATTACCTCGGTATGACTCATTTTCACTGTTGAATAACAAACTTAAAGTGCATTACATCTGAGGAGCAAAGGACATCGCCCTGAAAAGAAGATTCTGTTGTGAAAGGTGGGTTGGCAGACATGGATATGACATAAGAACTATGAAGGAATACATTCTGTAGCTGAAATAAACACACTTAGAACTACATCTCTAAGAACTGGTATCTTTATGTGTGCATTATTTAATTAGTTTCAGGGTTCCTATAGGCCCTCAGAATTGGTTATAGTGTCAAGTAGATGTTACATAAAGTAAATCCAATTGATATTGAAATGATACCAATTACATGGAAGGCTTAAGAAAATGCCTATCAAAGCAGGATGCTGTATCTTGGCATATATATTTTTCTTCTAAGCATTTTTATTCTCGACTACCTTCAACTTAATTTCACAGAATCTTTCTATTAATCCATTTCCCTGGTCATTATCCTTCCCAACTATTCCTCCCACCCTGCAATAAAAGTATACTTACACACCCTTCAGCATGAGACTTTGCAGAGCCTGTGGGAGGCAGAGTGAATATTTCCACTCTTCTGACATTGGGCTTGACTATGTGACTTGCTTTGATTAATGGAATACATGTAAAAGTTTCAGTACGCCACTTCTAAGTTGAGGCATGGCAAATTTCCAGAAACCCTCTTGAACCCTCCCCCTCAGCCATGAGAAAAGTGTGCTCCAGGTATTTTTGCATTTTCAGCCTGGTCCCTGAATGAAGACACATGGAGCAGATCTGAACCCAAAAGTAAAGTACGGGCTCCAGGCAGGACCTAAACCATTGAAGAACCGTGAAATGTTGACCTGAAGAACCCAGAGCATGAGAAGTTGCAGACCACTGAGATTGGGGTTGTTGTGCAGCATTCCCTCCCACTATAGGAGATCTTTTATTGTTCAGGATATTATCAACACCAGGATCTCCATTATTCATCTGTTCTTCCCATTAAAATCATTCATTCATTGCATAGGCACACAAAACATGGCTCAAAATTCAAAAGGTACCAAAAATATACTGAAAACTCATCCTCATTCTACTTCTGCCTTCACCTAGATGCCCTTTCCAAAGGCAACCACCATTACCCAATTTTTGCATCATCTTCCCCAATATTTTACACACACACATACATACACAGCTCTCCTTTTTCTTTTTTATCAACTGGTGCTCTATTTTTCTGAACCTTTCCCTTCCACTTAACATACATCTTGGTGATTACTCGTTTCTTTATACAGTGAGTGCTTCCATTTTTTTTTAATGCCTGCAGAATATTCCAAGGAAGGGTGGCACATGATTTACTTCACCAACCACCACCTATTAATGAACACTGAGATTGTTTCCAATCTTTTGCTGAAACATACTGCAATGGGTGGCATTGTCCTTACATTATTTTCACATGTGGGTAGACATATTTACAAGATAAATTCCTGGGAGAGGAATTGATGTGTCAAAGGGTACAATCATTTGCCAATTAATTTTTTAAGGAATACATTTCATTTTTAAATAGGCAATACATGCACATGGTATAGAAGTTTAAAAGAAAACGTAAATAGTTAAGTCTCCTCATTCTTTTCCCTCAGCTCCCAAGTTCCTTTCCCTTCCCAGAAGCAACCACTGTGACCAACTTACTGTGTGTGTTTCCATACGTAAGTATGTCTGCGTAGAACAATTGTATTATTTGAGTGTGAAGGGTATTAGTCTGGCTGCAAAAGTTCTGGGATTTGAGTGGGAGGAAGACGAAGGACTTCAGCCTTCAGTGTCCTTGTTTTCATCAATTAAGTGTGCCTGGGGTCCCCTAGTTCAAAGATCCGGTTTTACCTTCTCAAGAGAGTAGCCTCCAGTCTTCTAATGGGAGGAAGGCAGTCAGCCAACAGGGTGAAATGGGGAAAGATCAGAAAGAAACTGGTGCTGCCAGTTTTCTGTGCATCTGGAAGGTCCTGTGGTTTATACAGAGCTGTTCTGCAGTAATCCCTGTTACTGGTTAAGATTAAGCTGAAGTTTGCTAAGACATTTGCTTTTTCTAGAGCACAGTATTTCATTGTTGTTGTTTCCTTTCCCATTCTCTCCAACCTTGTGGGTTTATGTCTTTAAAACAAGCCCTTTATTGTAATTTCAGTGAGATTTCAGGAAGCAGTAAAATTAGATACATGTACTCAAGCCACTATCTTAACCTCGAATGCTCCTATTATTCCTCAACAATTCAGGGGGTTTTGTTTGTTTGTTTTTCAGGAAAACTCTACTTCCTTCCAGACTGCATGATGAACAGTCCGTTCTTAACTGGCGCACACCTGGACTAATTCGGAAACACCGAAATTGTTCCAGGACACTGGCCCACCGCTGCGTAACCTGGGCGGCCCAGGCCATGAGCTCTGGCTTCGGATTCAGGCAGGACCGGGTGGGAAGCCTGGCTCGGCCTCGGCGTCCTCAACTGCAAACGGAGGAACAGCAGCAACCTTACAGGGAAGCTGCGGTGATGAATCAACCCGTGGCTGTATCCAGCAGTGTCCCCAGGTCGTGAGCACCCAAGAGTAATTTTATGGCCACCACTGGCACTCAGACTACAGTGTGCGACCACGTCTTACGCTGGAGGATCGAAAGGCCACCAGCCCTGTTAACTTCCAACTGAAAAACGCCTGCGCGTTCCCGATCGCGGCTACCGCAGGACGCGGGCAGTCGGGAGCGAACAGGGACGCCAGGGGTCCGCCTCCGAGGCCGGCGACCTGGCCGGGGCCACAGGAGACACCAACGGTCCCAGGGCCGGGATTCGAGGCGAGGTCTCCCAGGGCCGGGATTCGGCGGCACCTGCGGATCGTCTTACCGAACCGGCGCGCGTGCACCCGGCGGAGCGGCGGCCGCCCCCAGCCCGGGACTCCGGGGCCCGGGGACTGCTCGCGCCGGCCGCGGTGACGGGCTCGGGGGTCCGCACCGCCCTGCACTCCGGCCTCCCCGGGGCCGCCGCCCGCGGACAGCGAACTTCTGCCGAAAGCCTCCCGGAGCCGACCAACAGCCCTGAGGGGCGACGGCCGCCGCCGCCAGACGCCTAGCGCTCCCTCGGGGGGCCGCCCCGATCCTGCCGCGCCGACCGCCGGGGCCGCCCCACTTACCGGAGGAGAAAAAGCAGCCCGGAGCACCTCCCCGCGCGCCCTCCCTTCAGCGATCGGACTACCGCGCTCGAAGAGACCGCCTTGCCCCACCGCCGGCGCGTTCCTCCACGGCGCACGCGCGCGCAGGCCCCGCCCCCTGACGCGCGGGGCACCCCGGGAGCGGGAGTTTTCCCGCAGCGACCGGCGGCGTCCGCTCGGCGTCCCGTACTCGGTGCTGAGCGCCGACCGACTCCACTCCGGACCCTTCCGCATCCCGCGCACTCCATCCCAACAGTTGCTCAGGTCGGAGGACTTCGGGTCCACGCCGCTTGCTCCCTTTCCCGCACCGCGCCGTCGTCCGGGTCGGCTTCCTTGCGGAGAGAAACAGCCGCCGCCCACCCCCTGTGCTTCCCCCACGCCGTCGTCCCCACCCTGTCATTGGAACTGCCTGCCGGACGTTCGCTGGTCCCCACCGGCCCTCCCTCTTTCCTGCAGGGTCCACAGAGCCGCCAGCGGCAGCCTGCGGGAAGCCATCCGGCTCAGAGCCTTCCAGAGCCCTCCCGTCACGCCTCTAACCGCGCAGAAGGCTCGACAGTGACCCCCACGGTGTCGCACGATTGCCCCCCGCACCTCTCACCTTTCCATGACCTCCTGTGCTCTTTTCCTTGGCTCCTTCGATCTGCTGCCCTCACACCCAAACCCACCAGCCTTCGTGCTTTTGCATCTCCGAGATCGCAGCGGCGAGCCCCGCCCCGCATCGCCTCGTCCTCGGAGTTTGCACCCCCTCGGCCTCTTCTCAGGCCTTCCCTCGGCACCTCCTGGAACCCTGGGCACCGATGACTGTGTCTGGCCCGCACTGGCTTGTAAACTCTCCAGGACGGCACGGTGTTCTGTTACTTTACCTGCAATCTCCTGTGTGTGGAATAATTCCTGGCAAATCAATATTTCTTGAATGAATGAATCTTCCCCAGGCCCAGTGCACTTGGTAACTGCCCTTTTTTCTGTCACGGCACATGTAAGAAAGTCCGGAAAACCACTTACTGGTATTTACCTGAAACGTTTCCCTGAGTTACAAAGTTTTCATTAACATTTCCTAACTGGTCTGCTAATTTTCTAGCTACGCTTTTAAAAACAACTTTATTTACATACCACATAATTAATTTAGTTGAAGAGTGCAATGATTTTCGGTAAACTTACAACCATTTGCAACCCAAACCATAACCTAATTTAAGATGATTTCCATCACCCCAAAAAGAAACTTGTGCCCATTTGCAGTTACTCCCTGTTCCTACCCTACCTAAGTAACAACTAACCCACTTTCTATCTCTAGAGATTTGCCTTTTTTGGGCATTTCATACAAAGAAAGTCGAACTTGTGTCTTGTTTCCTTCTCTTAGAATAATGTTTTATAGATTCAACCATGTTGTAAGTAATAGTACTTTGCTCTTTCTTGTAACTTGCATCTTTTCATTGCTGAATAGTACTCGATTTTATGGATAGACCACATTTGATTTATCCACCAAGTTGATGGAAATTTGAATTCTTTCCACTTTTGACTATTACGAATAATACTGCTCTAACGTTCAGAGAAACAGGCAATGTGACAACAGAAACAGATTTGAAGATGCTAAGCAGTGGGCTGGGAAAATGGAGGAAGGGGCCGCAAGATGCGAAAGGTAAGAAATGCACCCCTAGAAGCAGAAAAGGCAAGTAAACCCCGAGCTGGTCCTACCAACACCTTGATGTTATCCCAGTAATACTGATTTCGGACTCCAACCTCCAGAACTGTAAGAGAATAAATTTGTGTTCTTTTAAACCACTAAATTTGGGATACTTTGTCACAGCAGTAAATAGGAAACTAATACAAAACTTTATTTATGGACATTGAAATTTGAATTCTATATGTTTCACTTGTCATGAGATAGTATTATTCTTTTGATTTTTTTTCCAACCATTTAAATATGTTAAAATCATTTATAGCTTACAGGCTATATACAAAGACAGGTGATGGGCCAGATTTGGCTTGTGTCTGTAGTTTGAATATCCTAAATTAAGGCGGCACCTGCGGATCGTCTTACCGAACCGGCGCGCGTGCACCCGGCGGAGCGGCGGCCGCCCCCAGCCCGGGACTCCGGGGCCCGGGGACTGCTCGCGCCGGCCGCGGTGACGGGCTCGGGGGTCCGCACCGCCCTGCACTCCGGCCTCCCCGGGGCCGCCGCCCGCGGACAGCGAACTTCTGCCGAAAGCCTCCCGGAGCCGACCAACAGCCCTGAGGGGCGACGGCCGCCGCCGCCAGACGCCTAGCGCTCCCTCGGGGGGCCGCCCCGATCCTGCCGCGCCGACCGCCGGGGCCGCCCCACTTACCGGAGGAGAAAAAGCAGCCCGGAGCACCTCCCCGCGCGCCCTCCCTTCAGCGATCGGACTACCGCGCTCGAAGAGACCGCCTTGCCCCACCGCCGGCGCGTTCCTCCACGGCGCACGCGCGCGCAGGCCCCGCCCCCTGACGCGCGGGGCACCCCGGGAGCGGGAGTTTTCCCGCAGCGACCGGCGGCGTCCGCTCGGCGTCCCGTACTCGGTGCTGAGCGCCGACCGACTCCACTCCGGACCCTTCCGCATCCCGCGCACTCCATCCCAACAGTTGCTCAGGTCGGAGGACTTCGGGTCCACGCCGCTTGCTCCCTTTCCCGCACCGCGCCGTCGTCCGGGTCGGCTTCCTTGCGGAGAGAAACAGCCGCCGCCCACCCCCTGTGCTTCCCCCACGCCGTCGTCCCCACCCTGTCATTGGAACTGCCTGCCGGACGTTCGCTGGTCCCCACCGGCCCTCCCTCTTTCCTGCAGGGTCCACAGAGCCGCCAGCGGCAGCCTGCGGGAAGCCATCCGGCTCAGAGCCTTCCAGAGCCCTCCCGTCACGCCTCTAACCGCGCAGAAGGCTCGACAGTGACCCCCACGGTGTCGCACGATTGCCCCCCGCACCTCTCACCTTTCCATGACCTCCTGTGCTCTTTTCCTTGGCTCCTTCGATCTGCTGCCCTCACACCCAAACCCACCAGCCTTCGTGCTTTTGCATCTCCGAGATCGCAGCGGCGAGCCCCGCCCCGCATCGCCTCGTCCTCGGAGTTTGCACCCCCTCGGCCTCTTCTCAGGCCTTCCCTCGGCACCTCCTGGAACCCTGGGCACCGATGACTGTGTCTGGCCCGCACTGGCTTGTAAACTCTCCAGGACGGCACGGTGTTCTGTTACTTTACCTGCAATCTCCTGTGTGTGGAATAATTCCTGGCAAATCAATATTTCTTGAATGAATGAATCTTCCCCAGGCCCAGTGCACTTGGTAACTGCCCTTTTTTCTGTCACGGCACATGTAAGAAAGTCCGGAAAACCACTTACTGGTATTTACCTGAAACGTTTCCCTGAGTTACAAAGTTTTCATTAACATTTCCTAACTGGTCTGCTAATTTTCTAGCTACGCTTTTAAAAACAACTTTATTTACATACCACATAATTAATTTAGTTGAAGAGTGCAATGATTTTCGGTAAACTTACAACCATTTGCAACCCAAACCATAACCTAATTTAAGATGATTTCCATCACCCCAAAAAGAAACTTGTGCCCATTTGCAGTTACTCCCTGTTCCTACCCTACCTAAGTAACAACTAACCCACTTTCTATCTCTAGAGATTTGCCTTTTTTGGGCATTTCATACAAAGAAAGTCGAACTTGTGTCTTGTTTCCTTCTCTTAGAATAATGTTTTATAGATTCAACCATGTTGTAAGTAATAGTACTTTGCTCTTTCTTGTAACTTGCATCTTTTCATTGCTGAATAGTACTCGATTTTATGGATAGACCACATTTGATTTATCCACCAAGTTGATGGAAATTTGAATTCTTTCCACTTTTGACTATTACGAATAATACTGCTCTAACGTTCAGAGAAACAGGCAATGTGACAACAGAAACAGATTTGAAGATGCTAAGCAGTGGGCTGGGAAAATGGAGGAAGGGGCCGCAAGATGCGAAAGGTAAGAAATGCACCCCTAGAAGCAGAAAAGGCAAGTAAACCCCGAGCTGGTCCTACCAACACCTTGATGTTATCCCAGTAATACTGATTTCGGACTCCAACCTCCAGAACTGTAAGAGAATAAATTTGTGTTCTTTTAAACCACTAAATTTGGGATACTTTGTCACAGCAGTAAATAGGAAACTAATACAAAACTTTATTTATGGACATTGAAATTTGAATTCCATATGTTTCACTTGTCATGAGATAGTATTATTCTTTTGATTTTTTTTCCAACCATTTAAATATGTTAAAATCATTTATAGCTTACAGGCTATATACAAAGACAGGTGATGGGCCAGATTTGGCTTGTGTCTGTAGTTTGAATATCCTAAATTAAGTAGCATAAAGAATTTGCCCATGAATTAACATGACACATAATGACCGTAGTTTTTATAGTGTTTCAAAATTGCAATACTATTCATGCAATTCATTATGGATTAATGCAAAGAAAGCAAAATAAAACATACATGTTTAAATAGAAGCCTAAAAAGGATTTCATAAAATTTAATGCCCTTCCTTTAAGTTAGTATTTGAAAATTCAGTGTTTTGGTAGTAGTTGTTGATCATAAACTATAGCAAACACTCTGCTTAACTGAAAAATCAGTAGCATCTCCGGTCACCCAATCTGAAGTAGCACCACCACCCACCACAGTTTCTGTAATACTGTTTTCATTTATTAAATGCATAATTATTTCGTTTATTTATTTTACTTGTTTACTTTTACTCTTCTTCCAGAGGGATAGTGACTATTCACTGCTATATCTCTAGAGCCTACTACAATGTCTAGTACTTATTAGATGCTCAATTAATACTTGTTAAGTTCTCATTGGTGATGGTTAATTTTATATTGACTTGGCTGGGCCCAAGTGCCCAGTTTTGTGATCAAACATTGCTCATGATGTTTCTGTGAGGGTATTGCTGGATAAGATTGACATATAAGTCAGGGGACTTTGAGTAAAGCAGAACGAAAGACTGACTTCACCTGTCCAAGGGGGAACGGAAATAGATCCATGCCGTATTGTGTTTTTGTTTTGAGATGTCACTGTCAGGCCTGTTTTACTATGGACCCTTGATGGGTAGGGAAAATCTGGGGACATGCCAAGCTTCTCCCTCCTCACTGCAGGATGCCTTACGACTATAGGCATCCTCCTGTGTTCATGATGTATTACTGAGTGAAAAAGTGAGTCATTGAAGAAAGGTTGTGGAGATGGAGAAGTTTATATACCTTTGTATGAGCATATGAAGCTTTTGATTCAATTTCTCATACCCTAATTCAAATGTTCAAAGTCTGATTCTCTAAACCAGACTTTGAAAGACACTGACAGATGAGACTTGTCGGGTTTATTATCCATCAACAGGTCACACATTACCAAAGTCAGGCCTCTTGAATTCCTTATTGGAATCTCATCTCTCCTCATTTACATTTAAAAGATTTGAAGACAAGCAAGGGCACCTTATGAATTCCATCCTGTTAGCACCTGCTTTTTCACTTACTTTCACAACTACAGGCAGTGTTTGTTAGAGGAATTCCTGCTATGCTAATATGTCATTTGAGGTCTAGGGAACACATGGGCCATTTGTGGCAGTGTCACTGTGATGGATTAATGAGAAACATGTGTCTCAGAAACCTCTAGTGTTTGTATTCTTTCGTAAGAACTCCTAAGGCTTTATCAGAGCCACAAAGTGCCTTTGTCACTTCAGCTGCTGAAGTTTGTACGGCTAGGATAATGCAGAGACAGCCTCCTTTGCTGATTGCAAACATTATGTTTTGTGTTTTGTCACTAATCATCCTGGAATTGATGTTTGGTTATAGTGTGTGCTAGGGATCCAATTGCTTTTCTTCCTTATATGGACTCCTGTGATACTGTTATTTGTAAAAAGAAATACGTGTTTGATCTACATCCCCTTTTCTGGCACGGAGCTCCAAAAACCCTTGGAATTTCCTGAAAGACCAACTCTTGGAAACCATCAGGGGGTGGGCCCTGGTTGCCAAGGGAACCAACCATGTGATCAGAGGGTCGGGCCTTTTGGATCCACCCCCAACCTCCAGGGAGCTGAGGGGCTTGAGGTTGAGTCAGTCACTCATGGCCAGTGATTTAACCAGTCATACCTGTCTAATGAAGCCCTCAAGCGTACAGGGCGCGGAGACCTTCCAGTAGGTGAACCAGGCTGTTTCCACATGCCACCAAGCCCAAGAACAGAAGCCCCTTTGTTTGGGACTTCACCCTTCCTCTGGCTGTTGATGGGTAGGTATCCCTTCGTTAATCTGGTGAGTTATCTGCCCTCCTGATCCCTGTGACCTGCTCCAGCACAATTAACTGAACCTAAGGAAAGGGTGGAGGGAACTCCTGATTTATATAGCCAGCCAGTCAGAAGCCCAGGTAACAGCTGAACCTGGGATCGGCATCTTGAGTAGCGAGCAGTCTTGTGAGACGGGGCCCTTCACCTGTGGAATCTGATGCTATCTCCAGGTGGTTGATGTCAGAATTGAGTTGGGTTGTAGGACACCCAGCTGGGGTCAGACAATTGCTTGGGAGAACTCTCACACTTTGGAATTGGAATCAGGATTATGACTACCTCTTGTCCCAGCTCCATTCACTGAAATATGCAACCTTTCTACAACTCAGCAGTTCTTGATTGCAGATTCAGTTTCCACACATATGGGTCTATTTAGGCATCAATGTTCTGTCATTATTCTGTATCTTCTATCCCTGCACCAATATTACATGGTCCTAAATACTGCAGTGTTATAAAAACTTTGGCTAAATAGTGGGGGAAGTTTTCACAATTCATCCTCCCTCAAGTGTGTTTAGTTTTTAATTTTTTTGGATTTTTTATTTAGCTCCACATATTTTTTAAGAAGTTTGTAAAGCTCCACAGATATGGGGCCAGGCGTATTTTGGCTGGGATTACAGTGACTCTATATACCTTGTTGGGGGAATTGACATCTTTAATGTTGATTTTGCCAATCCGTGAACATATAATATCTCCCATTTAATTAGTTTTTTTCAAGTTTTCATAATTTTCTGGGTAAAGGTCTTGCCCATTTTAATTTCTCAAGTAGTTCAGAATTTTCAAGGTTATTTTATGTGCTTAATTTAATTTCAATTTGTTAGTAGTTGGTATATTGAAATGCAGCTGAATTTTGTACACCAGTATTGTATTTGGCAAATGCCAAAGTTTCTTGTTAATTTCAACAATTTGTAGATTATTCTGGATTTTCTGTGTACTGAAGCGAATCTTGCTTTTAATGACAATTGTATTTATTTTTCAGTACTTCTACTTTATGCTTGTAGATTGTGCTAGCTCACACCTCCAGCATTATATTTAGCAGAAGTATGTGTAGCAGTAGTAGTAGGAATCCTTATTTGTTCCTAATTTCAAAAGGAATGCTTTTGAGGATATAATGGGTAGAGTATTGATCCAAAAGATAGGTCCAAGTCCTAACCTGCCTACCTGTGAATGTGACCTTATTAGAAATAGGGTCTTTCTCAGATAATTGAAACCCTTAAGATGAGCTTATCCAGTATTCAGGGTGGTCCCTAAATCCAGTGATGAGTGTCTTCATTTGTAAGACAGAAAAGAAAATAAGGAGACACACGAAAGGGAAGACCATGTGTAGACAGAGGCAGAGATTGGAGTGATGGTCTCCAAGCCAAGGAGTGCCAAAATGGCCAGCAGCCACCAGAAGCTGGAAGAGAGGCATGGAGAGGGGGCCTGGGTGGGGGGTGTCCAGACTTCTGGCCTCCAGCTGTGTGAGAATGATACATTTCTGCTGTTTTAAGTCATCAAGTTTGTGATGATTTGCTGAGGCAGCCCTAGGACGCTCATACCGAAGGTAACATAGGAAATTGGCTTATGACCTGGGGACCAGGAAGGGCCTCGTGGGTACATATTAGGTGGTGGTGAAAGATGTGATTAAAGATGCAGGCAGAGGCCAGACTATGAAAAGCCTTGTAAGATGTATTCAAATTAGGTTTGGATGTGAGTTCCCGACTATCCAGAGTAATAGTGGTTTAAAGGCAGTAGTTTATTGCTTTGTCATGTGAACCACATGTTTGGAAACATCTAAGGTAGGTGGTGGCTGCTGTGATAATCTATACTGTCCAGGATCCAGACTCCCTCTCTAATAGTCCACATACAGCTAATAATTAGCACAACACAGGCCTTTAAAATAAAAGCAGTTTTATTATAAAAGTCTAAAAATGTGCTTTAAAGAATAGTCATAGGAATACTGCATAATGAGAAACATATCTTCATATCCAATCACATAGCAGATTTTATATTGTCCATGGAAATATTCAAAAAACATTCTTCTTTTCAGTTAGGAAGAGTCTTCAGAGCACCATTATTTGAAGGTAAGGTATTCTGCATATCAGAGTTCATCTTTGGTCTGCAATTAAGAAGCAAAATATTTAGAGCTATCAAGAAAACTCATATCAGCCAAGGAGACTTTTGTTAGTCTATTAATTATTTTCCCTTAAAGACAAAAGAAGGGGAAAAAGGCTTATAGGGAGCAGAACTATTATTTGCCCATGGGTAAAGTCACCTTGTGTTTTATCAGGCTACCGAAGGGGAACCTAGACATCTAAGGGTCAGTATCATTGTAAAGGGTGTTGTACTAGCAATGGTATCAGTGAGGCTGGAGCAGACAATGAGGAAGAAATAAACAAAGCTGTCATTCTGGCCCCTAATTCCTCTAGTTGGTGCAAGACACTGACTGGGCCCCCTTCGAAGCCACTTAGACAAAGATAAAAAAATTAAAAGGGTGTAGAGAAGCTGCGTGGTTTCATATAGGGCTAACAGAAGTATTCTGATACCAAATCACAATTTTCATGAATGGCAATTCTGTTTTGCCATTGGCTTAACTAATTTTATGGCCTTCCCGCACCGACAGGGGTTACACTAATGAAATGCCACTTCTGACGATTAGTTAGTGGTACATCAATACTCCAAAAAATACCCCCAAACCATCAAAACTTTGACTTAACAGCACATCCTGTTGTCACAATGTGAGTCTTCCACCAGGAGGATTCTAAGTTATCAAAAATTTAACTAGTGTGCAAAATTCTTGAATATTTAATACTCAGTGAGCTTGTATGAATGGTGAATGGACTCCAACATGCCCTGGGACCAACTGTCACTTTATCCCTTTTAGATCTCCTTGAGAGGCAGATACAATAATTGCCACATCAGCCTTCTCATCTGTGGGTACAATACCACAATTGTGAGTTTGTCCATGCAGAGACAGGATGTTGCTTAAACTCATGTCAAGTCAGTATAATACATGTACATTATACATATATATAATGTATGGATGTGACATATACATATATATCTCATAATTTTACACAGTATATGTCCCTTCAAATCAAAAACAACTATAATCAAACAGCCGTCCCCTGCCACATCATGTCTTCACATACAACCACGCATATGATCTGATGATGAGAAATTGGTTTCGGTCTTGGCTATAATCCACCTAGATGATTTTGAGCGAAATTCTTTGGGGCACAGCTTTGTTAATCATAGAGTGAAGGCATTTATCGGATGACCCTCAAAATCCTTTTCAAGCCTTACACATCCATATGTGAACCTGCTTTTTATAGATGAAATCTGTATGTAGTGATATCAACAGAGATTGCTTTTAAATGAAGAATCTAATACCATGAATAATATATGATGGTTATATATTTTTTCCTCTCTAAGTTGGGATGATGAACTTTGCCAAAGTCATCTCTCAAGGACATGAAGCTGTTAGATGATATGTGTGAAAATACTTTTCAAACTTTGAACATGTTTCAGATGTCGTGTGACCTGAATTCTTACATTAAAAGAGGCTGTCCTTCACTTTGCCGAGAGCTCCTAGGTCTTCTCACTTAACTGCACGCTAGCGCCCTTTCTTTTCCCTGACTGTTCGTACCTGCCTCCCTGGTCAACTCAGCTGGCTGAGCTTGAATAGCAGTTGCCTGAGTGAATGACTGAAGGAATGAATGAGGACGTGGATTCCTGTTAGCTCTGCCTCCAGCATTACCTTTCTCCTGTGGCACGTGCACGGAAAGAGGTCATCCTCCGTCTGTGCTTCTACCCTCTTCATGCCCTCTCGGATTTTGGGCTCACTCACTTGTAAATTGGCATATTCCTATAGAGGCAACAATTCAAAACCATTCCTTATGTAACAGAACATTTACCAAAGTAGGTATGCTGGAATTTGCTAGAATATGGTCACTTTACCTCACATGTGTCAAGCTGTAATATGCGAAGTCTTCCACACCCCCTGAAACACCCAGAGAGGACTTCTGAGAGGCAGCGGTCTTTTGGACACTGGCTGCCTTTTGCTAATGGACCTCTCCTTAGTCTACCCTTCATTTATCTGACTTGTGTGGTTTTGTGTGTGTGTGTGTTTTTAAAACCACTTTCTACCTTGTAGTGAAAATAAGAGTGAACATAACCTTTCCTAGACTGGGAATTTGAGGAATTTCTGTGTCACCCACCACAGCTTGCATGCCATCAGTCGCCATCATCAGTTATTATGTGCTTGCTCTGGGTCAAGTGCTTATGCTGTAGCATATGTGAGCTGCATGAAGGAACACTGCCCTGTGGCGCTTAAGGAATTCAGATAGTAAGTCCCTGCCCCACTCACACGTGACACTTTCTCTATCCTTTCACCATCCCGAGGAAGCTAAAAAGGGGGAGGGGCCGTGCAGATCACTTCGTTCTGGACTGGAGCCTAAGATACGGGGCTTAATATCTGCAAATCTGAGATTTTAAAATTCTTTATCATTAGCAAATTAGTTGTTTATGATTGCATTGTTAAAAAGGAACCTTTTAAATCATCAGGTATATTTTGATTACAATCCCTAAATGCTTAGGTCCACAAAAATACTTTGCAAGAGGAGTAATGGCTCGTGGGATCAGCACAAGAAGTCTAAACATACCTTGCATTGTTTAGACAAAGAAATGATAAGGCAGGAGCAAGATTGTACAAAGAGAAAACATGATTCCATGCACAGTAACTCTGCAGGATCAACAGCCAGTTTCCTAACCACATAGCACAGTTTTAACATTAATACTTTCCCCTTAATGCTGTAGCATTCTACATTAGCCAATCTTTGGTTTTGTATTATTTTCATCATCATTTAATGGTCTCTGGTTTCTGACCACAGGGTATACATATATCTCCTTCTATTAATGTACTTTTAGAAATTGTTAAGTGAAATATTTGCTCCTAACATGTCCAATTAGAAAATACTGACCTGGAAAAGTTTGAAATAATAGCAGAATATGTCATCACCCATGAGATTATTCCTGGCAAATTCTTGTCCTGCTTTTGCTATCTTCTTTGCCTATGGGAACAATACCAAAAAAATTCTTTCATAAAACATATTTTTTCCCATGCAGATATATGCAAACCTGTCTTCAGAATACATGAATAGTGGGACAATAGTGGGAAAAATATCTTTGGAGGTAGTTTTATGTACTAAAGAGAATATTTAACAGAGTATGTTTGTTTAAGTAAAAGGGAGGTTTTTAAGACTTCAAAGCTGGAATCAAGCCTGTCTTGGAGAGAAGGTGTACATGAAATGACATAACAATGATTTTGTAAAGTAAATGCAAGATGAAGCTTAATGTGGCACCTTAACAATTCTCAGCAGACGATTAATCTGACGTTTACTGCATGCAATCCCTCATTTTAATCCACAGCAGTTTTTCCTCCTGCAGAGCTGGCCATGTGAATTTTCAGTTGCTCATACATGTTTCATGTGTTGAGTGGACAGTTAATCCACGATGCAACACCCACATTCACCCTGCGGAACCTGTGTGCCAGCTGTGGGGAGGTGGCTTCGCATGTGTAGGACAGGGTCTAGATCTGAGCATCCTGAATGGTTTTCAGGAACAAGACATTCAAGATGAACCCATGATACTGGGGTTCAAGGACACTGGTCTTACCTCTTCATCATGATCTTTTGCCCATTTAAGTTTTTCTAGGAGATCACTCAGGTTGCTTTTAACTGGAATGTAGTGTTTCCAGGGCTGCAGCTCATTGTAAAAGTGTTCATAGTAGATGGAGTCCTGCTTCAGCACAACACTGTCACCAACTAGGAGATACGGCAGGCGATATGCTGCGACAGTGCCGTCGATGTTTATTTGGTACTTATGCTGCAAATCGGCAGTAAAGATCCTCTGTTATATTTCCTTTCTTCACTGTCTATTCTCCCTCTTTCCACACGTAAAGCTTCACCATCCTCAGATACAAACGGGTCTTCTGCCTTGCCACTTAATAAGTGTCTTATCACATGCTGACCCAGAGCTACAGGCTTATTCTCACACTCCCAAATTCTACAAAGGAGCCACAAGTCTAACATTAAAGCAACTAATAAAGGAATAAAACTGTTGTCCGAGGGCTACAACCTAAGGAAAGAGATTTTTCATGATTTTGTCATTCCTACTTTATTGCTCTGACCTGAGCACTGGATAATGGCACATTCTCTGCCATGTTAACCATACCTTTTAAGCATCAGATAGTCACACACAAGTCTAAAGGCAAGATCATCTGTGAACAAAAATATTCACAGCACTGTAGTAATCAATAGTCTTTAGCTGTAGCAAATTCTACAGGTAGGAATAAAGCAAAGCCATGACAGAACACTCTCTGAGGAGGGATGGCTGGTCTGAGCTCTGTTTTAAAAATACTGGCAATATGCACACTTGACAGTTCAACTCCTGGCATTCGTTAGTCTCCCTGCTGCGATGCTGCCTGGCAGAAGAAGACCTGGCTGTCCACCCCAGGGACGGAACTTGCTCATCACCTGCCTTCCCACCTACAGAGAGCATTCTGTCCACCTTTCTCCTCACCCTTTTTTTGAAGGGGCTCCAAAAACCGTTCGGTGGTGTCGAGACCAGGGCAGTGTGCCACTGCCTGGAGAAGGGAGCTAGTAACAGGATCCCTCCCCAGGAACTACGAGCAACCCACATTCTGGGCACAGAAAGCACTCCCTAATCCTCAGAATTCCCAAGCACAGCATTTGGATGGGTTTCAAGATATTTCCCCCATCAGAAGGCCTGATAAGAGGCACCTGGTTTATATCTTCTGAGAGGCAGCCTGCTGTAATGCTGTGGCTCTCGGGAGAGGTATTTGTAAGATTAGTTATATGTATTTATTAACAAAAAAGGATTTGGAACTGAAATGTGCTTATCTAGAGGAGCAGGTAGGAAAAAAATTATAGCTCTGCCCGGGTCCCAAGCTCCTTTGATGGATAGTTAATGCCAGGTCTGAGTACTGAGTACAACCCAGGTTGCCAAACCTGTCCCCGGGGCCCTTTGCCTTGAGGTTCAGTAAATTTTGGGCTCCCCTCTCTCACCCTCTGTAATTTATAGGCCTCAATTTCCCCTCCTCCAAATGAAGATATTCTGAAAACTGAAAAGGATGAGCCACCAATGATGTCATACCTTGAAGAAATCAAAAAACGAAATATGTTTCACAATGGGACCATACAGGCTCTCGTCGTGTTTAAAGAAGAAAAAATTGGTGAAGGCAGCGTCTATGAGTTCTGGGTATTTCCTGCTGAGTTTAACCAGCTCAAGTCTCTCTTTGCGGCTGTCTCGCCCTCTCCAGACAGCCGTAGAGTTTTTGCTTTCCCAGGGAGGGCCCGTGTTGGCTTGCACAGACATCATATCCAGACTTACTCTGGAAGACAGAAAGCGCAACAGGTTTTCCTCCCAAACCATCACATCCCAAAGGTTGTTGGGAAAGAACTCGCCAAGGAAAGAAAACCGAGGCTCTGGGCTGTCTGTCACCCATCTCTCACCGGCCCATGGTTTCTAGAACAGAGTCAGTCAAGTCGTAGGTAGGCATCACAATATCCTTAGAATCTGTGGAGCCACACCAGGAAAAGATTGGATGGATGTGCGAATTGGATTTCTTTTTTTCCAGAGGCCAGTCTCCCAAGTTAACAAAAAACTCCACATCTGGCATCTTCACCTAGAAACAACAACACCAAGGGCTCATTCACATTTCCTGCACTGAGAACACCTTCCATCGGTCACTGTGTTGGGAAAGGCAGTGTCAAGCCTGCTGTCTTTCCACCCCTGCACGGTGCATGGCCCCTGCATGGTGCATAAGAATGGGCCTGGCGCCTGGAATGCTTCCTTACTGAGAGAGAGAGCCCTCGGGGCTGCGCTGGGCTTCTCTTCCTTCCTGAGGGAATGTACTTGCAGGCATGGCCCTCAGCTTGCTGCATCTCAGAGATAGGCTGGGGAGTTCCACTGCGGCAGGAGGTGGGGTGCCTGCAGCCACACAGCTGGGGCAGGGTCTGTGGGTAGAGTCCCTGGCCCAGGCGGACTGGCACACAGCAAAGGGCTGGATCTGTGCAGGCTCCCTCTTCTGCTGTTAAGTAAATGCCGCCCGCTTGTGTGCACTGCTTGTTCTCGGCAGCCTCGAATCCTGCCCTGGTCTCTTCCCTGGGTGGCACTTCCCTGCCTTTTAACCTTGGCTGCATTCATGTTATGTTCTGTCCTGCAGCACAGCCAGACCACCCAATGAGCAGTGAAAATCACTAAAAATTAAAAATTGCATCAAATGAAAAGCCCGTTCTCCAAGCTTCAGGTAATGGTAATTACCTCAATTTAAATGGTGGGTAACTTCTCAGGAAATTGTCGTATATGTGAACATACTAAATTTGCTTTCTATGATGCCCAAATTGGCCAACAAATTTGCCACAAAAGGGAAGAAATAAAGGTAATCTCGCTTCTGATATTGCCATGAGACTCTAAGCTGATCCAAAGGAGAAAGAGGATTACTGGAAAGTAATTACAATACATAGTACTTGGAACTCGTTCCTGGTTAATGAGCCAGATGCTTCCATCTTAAAAATACACTGCACGTAGTTGGTGGGACCAGGCTTTGAACTCAGGAAGCCCAGCATCAAAGCCAGCAGTAGTGACTTCCAAGCTAGACTGCCTCTACTGATAAGTGGCACAAATGTGTTGAAAGAACCTGTTTTTTAATCTAACCATGGGAAAATGGGGTATTTGTAAAAATCAGAGATATCTTTTTAGGTGAAAACTGTGTTGGTCAGTCTGAGAAGCATCTTGAGAAATCTGAGTACAGAAGAACATTATTTTTCTATGGATTGATACAGACGAACAAGAAAAACTTGCTAGCACTCTGATGTCTTAGCTTAAAGGAGGCAGAATATTGATGCTACATTTAGAATGCACTTACTGTAAACACTTTGCAATCTTGAGAAGAAAGGTATTATGATTTTCCTTGAGTAATTCAGTCAAGATATGTACACAGAGTATTCAATAAATACCTGTTAAGTGATTGGTAAAAATGTTGCTCTAGTCTGTTATATCAGCCATTCTATCATCACTGTCAAGTACTCCACTAGAACCCTGCTAAAACACAGTACACCAAGGAAAGGATTGAGCATCGGCAAGTCCTTGGGTTCAAAGGAGGTTTTGTACCAAGAGAATTTTAGTATAATGCATTTTCTCCAGTAAGGCATTATTATGGGGTGAATTCTGTCTGCACAGAAGATACTGACATCCAAAACCCAGGGTCTCAGAATGACCTTATTTGGAAACAGGGTCATTACAGATGTAATTAGTTAAGATGAGGTCACACTGCAAGAGGGTGGGCCCTCCATCCAATATGACTGGTGTCCCTGCGAGCAGGGGCAGCCATGGAGACACACAGGGAGAAGCCGTGTGACTGCACCGGACAAGGACTGGAGGCATGCAGCTGCGTGCCGAGGAACGTCAAGGATGGCCAGCTACCCCCAAGGAGGAAGAGCCAGGGAAGGATTCTGCCCCATAGGTTTCAGGGGGTGCAGGGCCCTGCTGACACCCTGATTTTGGACTTCTAGCTTCCAGAACTTCCTGCTGTTTCAAGCTGCCCAGCAGTCCTCAGAAATGAATACAGGTATCCCGCATGGCATAAAATATCAGAATAGTATTACAGTAGGGTTCTGGAATAGAACACCCTAATATGGTTATTATTTTTATTTTGAAGTATATTGTGCAGTCTGGGCTTAAGCTATAATACCTAAGAGAAAAGAAATACTTACTTTTCTAGTCAAAGAAAGTAGTATGGCATCCATGAAAATTCTAAAACCTACATGTTCACCGTGAGTCTTGATATAAACCTGAAAGAGAATTGAACGTTTGTTGTATTAATCTAAAAGTACTGGCAGCCTTCACTGGGGTAAAGCTTATATCATAATTACCTTCAGAATGATTTTTAATAAAACTGTAGCTACTTTACCCAAATAGTCAAAACAAAAAATCACTCAGACAAACAAGCCAACCTCAGTCATGAATTATACCTTGTTATCCTTCAAGGTATAATGACACAAGCTCTGTCTTTGTCCAAATCTTTTTGGGATTTCTGCTGCAATCTTTTCTGGATCAACAGTAGGGAAATGAGCCAGATCCTTCTGGATCTGAGCGATGGTTTCTGGGCAGTTCATCTCCTGGAGCCAGGCAGTATCCTCCAAAGCACAGTCACAGTTCTCGTGGTAAACTGGCCCTAATCACACACAAGTAATGAGATAGCATGGTAGTAAGTTCACTCAGCATTCCAAACATGTAGCAAATATCCTGAATATAGCTTCACAAATTTTGCCTAGTTAAAGAGTATGGACATTTTGATGGAAAAAAATATTTTGAAAGAAAAACATTTTTATTACCCTGGTGCATCGCTAGTAAGTCTGTTCTGACAGCTCTTCCCTGTGAAGTCTGACGGTTTCGTAGTGAGGTCCACTTTGCACAAGTTCAAAGAAAGCTAACAGGTACCATTTTTTGCTTTCAGTGGCTACTACAGTCCATTATTCTTTATGCTTTGTATTTAAACATCACCAAACATTGGCAAAAGGATATCAGAGCATAGGTGTTTTAATGAAAGACCAATGTGATATAAGATTAATATTCCAATGGTCTTTACACAAATGGGTTCTTAAAGTGTCTATGGTCCTTTTCTCAATGGGTAAATCAACATCAATAACAAGTAAACAAAGAACCCCTACTATTTGTTTTGCTTCTTTTAAAGAAGGAAAGGCACTCCTCAAAGCAGTCCATTTCATTAACATTATAATGAATTACTTAAATATTTATAGAAATAATATAAGAGAATCTTAATTGAGATTTTATTGTCATTTCTTTCTGTAATTCTCAGTTACCCACCTGACCCAGGCAGTGGTCGACAATGGAATATCTTTTTAAGGTTTAGCACATTATATGGTACCATGTGGTCCTGGTGGAATAAGGGAAAAAGAAACCTAGGCACTTTAAAAAAATGTTTGCCTTTCTTGGAGGGGGCGACAAGGAAGACTGGTGTCTCTGTATGCACACTGCTTTGCCAGTGTTTTAAGGTACTGTCTCTGCAGAGAAGGAAGGATGTGACTCTAGGTCACAAAGCCGTACTGTCATCCTGTATAAGAAAACATCAGAGAATTTCTCTGGAAAAACTATGTTGGAATAAAGACAACAAACCACAGTTAACTTCCCTTCTTGAAGTGGTTAACTAAATTTCAATAACGTGTATCAGTTACTTAAGTCATATATCTCCAATTACGAAAGTGTCATGTATGACCAAATATATAGCTTGATTATTCTTGCTAAGTTGTGTCTTCTGGGAAAAAATTCTCCATTAATATGTTCTTTCCTCTTCAGTCAATTATAATTTCCATTCAAATTTCGCATCTCTCTCTTATACCAGGACTCTTAACTTAGCTTTCAAGTAGGAAATGTCTTTTTTTTCTTTAGTCCAAAATATACCACAGTAACTTGTTTTTATTGATTGAATAACACATTTTGAATTCAAATACTGTTGCCTTAAAATTATGTTCCAAATTACCTTTCAAAATATATGGAGATTTGGCAACATGTTGACCTTGGAATTTAACTTCTACCTTCAGATTTTTGTAGCTTGCATACATTCTGTATCTTACTATGAAGGACCCATCCTTTCGGTCTAAAACCTGGACTCCAACTCTAGTGAACTGCTCATCTGGTGCCGAGATTTTAATCTGGAACACCTTCTCACCTGGAGAAGATGTGAAACTGGTGGGAAGAACAATGATATACAGATTATTTGAAGGAACAAACACACAAGATTATGCACTCTAGTCTGTGAACCATGCTATTTTCCTTCATGTTCTCTCCATAACATACATACTTGCTTCTTCTTTCATATGCTTTTAGTACCATAATGAATATGGATCAGAGATTTCAAAAAAGAAGAGAATGACAATGGCCAAGATCACATAAAAGTTTGGTTATAAAATTGCCAGGGGATATGTTAAGACTACTGATCTTCTATATAAACACAGAATATACACATTCCACTTATAAAAATATTCTTAGCAACTTACTGGTTATTACATGCCCATCACATCTGGAAATTTGTGATCATATGGTGCTTCTAAAAACAATGATCTTTTCAAAAATCTCAGTAATTCTTTAAATAGTCAGTATTATAAGTCATGCTCAGCCATGGGCAAAAGCCACCAGGTAGTTTATCACTTAAATGACATTGTGCAAGTTCTTTTTTTTTTTAGGTGAGTGCTCTTGCTGTTAAGATGGTTAAGATGGTATTTAGTTTCCCTAATTGTACAATTTATAGCCAAGTGGCAAAATTTATAACCTTTTATTTCTTTGCTTTGGAAGACTTATTCCCAGGATTTTTTTTTTCCCGGCAAAACATATAGACAGCATCTACCAATTAAAAAAAACAACAACCATTTCAGAAGTATGTGATTTCTAAAAATAAGTTTAAAGCGTTATTTTAATTGTTGAATTCAATGGAATGCAATAAAACATACATTCACACTTTGATACTTTAACTCTCAACTCTAAAGTTTCAAATAGTGTTTCATTTTTCCTTTTTGAGTTTCGAAACATGCTTACCTGCCCATGTCTACCTGAAAACAGAGGGCAGTGCCAAGAAGGACGAAACCAACGAGGGTTCTAACAACGGGGTTTGAATTCCTTATAGCAGCATATGCTAAAAGTAGTTAGAAATCGTTACTTCCAGCGAAGAGAAGCCTTTGTCTCCCCAGTTATGTGGGAATCCTTATCAAAATAGCTGGGAGAAGAGTTGATTCGGATTATTTCTAAAGCTATAGAGAAAAACGGATTGGGACGGGTGGAGACTGTTAAAATCAGATGTGGACAGCACCCAAATATTCTGGAATTTAAACTGCTGGGGAGAAACGAGCTCTTGGGCGGATACAATTTTAAGATAGGCACGTTAAATGTTAACTGCATTCCATAATAATTTGTGAGCCATTTGCCAACTTACTTATTCCATGATGTATCCACCGCCTGAATGTAGAAATAGCGCGCGGGAAGGACGACGGCTGCTTTTAGCCCAGGTCCCCATATTTTGCTCTTCTCCGGACTCAGTCGCCTCTCTTGGCCGGTCTCAGCAATTGCTGGAACTGTCCCCAGAAAGAAGCAGTAAAGCAGCAAAATGCTAAACATTTACAAGACGGACTCTTGAAATGATCCACGGATAAATGAAGTGTAAGGGGCAGATGGAACCAGCGGCGGCTTGGACTGGGGCACGCTGGGCGATCGCTGCAGCAAACGCGGATCCAAAAGGTGTCTCTTGCAGAGCAGGGCAGGCGCGGGGCTGCACTTCGCCCAAGAAGATCACAACCCGAGCGCTGGCGTGTCTGGATGCAGGATGCCAGTCGTTCTGCCGAACCGGGAAAGAACCACGCTGCTCCTCTTTCACGGGATAGTGATAAACCGGCGTTGCTTCTGCAACTGGAGCATCATTAGGGGCGAAGCCGTCTCGGGTTCCAGCCCGAGGTGCAGGGCGAGGGGATTGGCCCGCGCGTCGGGCCGGGCTGAGTAAGGCCGTCTGCAAGTGGATGGCGCGGTGGACACGCGCCCGGGCGCCAGGGTTTCCTGGGACTTGTAGTTCGCGACAGGACTAGCGGAAATCCTGCTGGGTTTTCTCATCCTTCCCTCCTGTATTTACTTCGAGGTCGCCGTGTTCAGGGAACAGATAAATACTAGATGCCCAAAAGAAGGGCATGCCTATCTGGAGGCACAGATAAGATTAACAAAAAAATCTCACCATATCCTCCGCTCTTGCAGAGGGCAGGTAAAAACACGATGAAAGGAAGGTGTGTCAGTGATATCTGACGACCGGTCGCCGGGAGCAGCCGTCGCAGCGCTGTCCCCGCGCGCTCCGATGGGACGACAGACGATCGCCCCAGGGTCACCCGAGGCGCGTCGCGGGCCGTACGCTGGATGCTGTGATCCGGCCCCGGTGCCGGGCTCCGCCGCGGCTGCCGCGAGTCGACCCCGCGGGACACAGGTACCCGGGACTTCGGGCAGGGGCCGAGGGGGCGGCCCGCTGCTCTGCGCTCTGCGCGCGGGGCACCCGGGCCGCGGGCCGGCCGCCCGCCTTCTCTAGGAGTCACCAATGCCGCCCGGGTCCGTGCCTGTGCTCCAGGGGAAAGTCGGGCAAAGAGCTGAGCAGCAGGACGGGGGAAGCGCTCAGGAGGCGGGGGGAGAGTCCCCTTGGGAACAAAGCCTGATGTGGAGGCGCCCGCGCGGCTGGCGGTGGCCCTTGCCCAGCGCCCTCCCCAAGACCCGCTCGGCAGGGCCCGGGCCGGGAGCGCGCGCCGGTGGTCCCCTCGCCAGCGCGGTCACTCGGAGGCCTCACGGGCAGCTGCGGCCTCGGACCCGGAGCGCCCTCCGCTCCTCCTTCCCTTTCCCGACCTTGCCCGCGGCCCCGAACAACCAGACGGGCGAGGAGTCCCGCCAGCCAAAGCAGGCCCGGTTGGGGCCAAGGTGGGGATTCTCTTTTTTGCAATTGTCCTTATTAACGCTATCGACTCGTGCACTCTGGAGCTCGTCGGCGGCTGCCTCTTCAACGGGGACAGTGGCCGGCGCTGCCCCCCACGCCCGGGCGCCTCGCGCAGCGGGAGCGCCTGGGACCCCGCGGGGAGGAGGCGCTGTCCGCGCCGCATCCGCTCACTCCCCCCAGCGTTCAGCGCCGGCTTCCGGCGGAGGGGGGTCCGCAGGCCTGGCGCCCGGGTGTCCGGCGGGGCGCGCGCAGGGGGCGCCGCCGGTGTCCTGCTCCCCGCCCGCGTCGCCTTGCACACGCCGGTACAGCAGGGGCCCGGCGGCCTGCGAGCGCGCGAGCTTCGCAGAGGAGGGCGGCGGGGACTCTGCTCGTCTGCCCCGCAGCGGGGCGGGACGCGGTGCGCCCGGGAGCCCGGGATCTTCCGTAGGCCCTCGGCCTTTGCCAGCGAGGTTTGACCGGGGAAGGGGCCTGGGGGCCGGGGAGCGGCCTGGGGCGGTCGGGGGGCCGAGATAAGATCTTGGGGCTTCACGCGTCAGGTGGGCCCGTGGAGCATATCCCGCGCTTAGTCGGTCACTTACCTGCGCCTGCGCCTCAGTGGACTTCTAAAGATGTTTCGTTATCTAAGCAAACTTGCTACTTGATGTACGGATTTAAAATGTAACCGGAGAAGAATGTAAGCTAGGCGATGAATATTGGCCTTACAAATGGAACGTTTATTTACGGAACAATTCCTTCCAGTGACTTAAAAATCGCTTCTCTTACTGGGGCCTTTAAAACTGGCCATTTTAACACATTTTGTTTGCACGCCATTAAACAATACTTAATGTTGCTTTGTGCCATGATTTTATGAATAAATCATTAAATCGAGCTTTAGGTCCTGCAGTCATTCTTGGTAGTAAATCTTAATAGAGCTTCACTTCCCTTCCCTCTATTAGGGGACTTCAGTTCTTACATGCGAGAACCAGGGAGGAATAAAGAGAGCAGGCCCCTTGTCTGAAACTCCAGCCCTTGATTCCTACCGCCACTCCTAGTAAGCCCTCCTGGAATCTAGGATTCTAATCCGGGGCTTACAATAATACCTAGCATGATGTAGGCATTTAAAAATAGGTTTTTGTTGATGAAACTTCTACAGATCCTGGGCCCAGGGGATACAATCGTTAGGAAAAGCAGACTTGCAGGAGGCAGGCATTTATCAAATAAACACACTAGTCTAAAGGTAAAATTGCACGCTAATAAGACGTGTGAAAGAAATGTATCTGAGTGTGTGTGCAGGCCTAGTTTGAGGAGCAAAGAAAGCATCCCCAGAAAGTGACATTTGAAGAATATCTGAAGGATAAATGGGAATTAACTAAATAAAGGAGGGTGAATGGGAGGAGAGGTCTCTCAGAGAATGGAAAGGTGGTCAGTGGTCAGAGATTCCAGAGAGGATGGGGGTGGTCAAGCTGAGCTCTAGAGATCCGTCATGCGGCCAGGGAAGGAGCTGGCTTTTGGTTCTAATAGCAGACGGTTTTAGGCAGGAGAGTTGTATGATCATGTCTGGTTACAAGCTTTATTTTCTATGCACAGGTCAGATTAGAAAGGTCAGCTCCTGGGTGCTGGGGAGGCTCAGCTTGGAGCAGGAATGGAATTGGGACTAGTTCATAAAATTAAGGGCAAACGGAGATACTAGTTGTGATAGAACTGTATGAGCTGCAGACTATTTGATGGAGGGACAAACTGCCCTCTGTAGCTCAGTATTTCCTAGGCTGTGAGTATAAAAAGATACAATCGTAGACATCCATATGATTGTGTTATCAGTAAAAACCTGTGCTCAGTCCACTTGTAAGAAAGCCTGAGAACAGATAGTACTAGTGCCCCGGCCTCCTGGAACTACCACTGATGTGGAGACGAGCAACATGGAGTAGATAATAAGGGAAGGAAATAACCGTAGCAGTGGCATTTGGATATTTTCATTTTCTGTGTAATATCTTTTGGTATTTTATAATATTTTTCTGTAACTTGTTTCACTTATGTGATAAAATCTATAAACTACAACACAATTCCATAAACAGTGGTTCAAATGAGAAAGTGTTCGTCCCACTCTAAGTTTATACTCTTGGTTTTTATTGATAATCAATGTAAAATACATCCTTGGGTTGGTGATCTCGCTTCTTTTGGTTCAAGTGCAACCAAAGAGGTCACTCTTGTTTAGTGAACATTGTTTAAAAACAAACCCCAAACAACAAACAAACAAAACCAGACTTGATATTTTTTATTACTCAAGCGCTGTGTGCTTTCTTGTCTTTAGCTTTTGGGTCTCTCAGCCCCTTTTGTGCTTGAATGAAGTAGTTTCCCTTTGCCTATGTGTTTGATAAGAATCATCTCCTGCGTGTGTCCCAAGTGAGCATCCTTCACAACATTCCACACTGCTGTGTGGGTGGGCGTCTGGTCCCACCAGTCTGAGGAAGGATGCTTCTGGCAAAAAGGGAAGCTAGAGATGGAGAGGTGGGCAGCACCTGAACACGGCCATCTCCCCAGCAGACCTGCCCTGCACCCTCTGCTCATTGCCTCTTGCCCACCAGGCCCTGTGTTCTCTCTCGTGGCTCAGCCTCCCACCACCCACGCCCACAACACCAGTGCCACACATACTCTCTGCCTTTGCCCACACACTGGCTTTTAGGGAAAGGCTTGAGATTAAAGATAAGTAGGAAATGCTCTGCTAGGGCCTGTGCTAAGAATTGGAGAGACCGGCTCTCCAGAAAAGCCCAGACTTTGGTCTATGTAACCTCGGGTCGCAGGTTTCTCTTTGCATTTTCCCACGGTCGCCTTCACACCAGGAGGTGAAGAAGAAGGAGAAAGCATAGAAACTTCCTGTCCTGAGAGCCACCACACCTGCTCCTAGGATTTCTTGGCTAAAAGATAAAGAAACCACTGGAGGGTCTGCTTTTGGTGGTGAAGCTCCTGCCAAACCTGCCCCTTGCAAATAGCTATAAACTCTGCACAAATTACTGAAAAATCACCACTTGAAGGTTTGAATGGAGGGAAAGCATTCCTTAAAAATAAAGAAAATGGAATCTTCTAGATGTGGCATGCTCCTTGTGTGTAGCTCTGTGTCCTTGAATCCCATGAAGGACACGCAGTCCCTTCCCTAGTGTCTCATCGCAGGCCCTGGCTGACCGGGGTGTCTGCACTCCTTACCGCCTTCGCCATGGCTCTTCGTCGTTCAATATTGTCTGATGGGTTTTATATAATCAGTTTCCTGAAACCTGTGAAGTTATTCTCATTTCTGATTTTTTAAGTAAGAAAATGGGCAGAGAGATTTAAAGTCAAAGTGCCCACCCAGGCTGGGGGACCTCTCTGGAGTGCTGTCCATCCCTGGGGGCCCGTGAAGTGGGCACGCTCTGCCTGCCACTTGCGTTGGGTCACCTCCTGTTCTCCCAGTGATGGTTTGACTCATCAGTGTCTTCCTTTTGGATAAATCTTCAGCTTCCTTGAATGCCCTCCTTGGCTATTTAAACTTTTCTGTTTTCTTCCTTAAAGGAACTGGTGTATACTTGAAATTCAGTTTTTCTTGAGAATTATCAGAAGATGGGGACTCACTGTAATTGACTGTGGTGATGGATGCCCAGCTTTATAAATAAGATACGAGTCACACACCATACAATGCACCTATTTAAAGTGTACTACTCAGTGGCTTTTAGTACATTCACAAAGTCATACATCCATCACCACAATTGGTTATCAAATACTTCCATTATTTCAAAAAGAAACCTCATCACCCCTGACCTGCTCCTATCTCCTAGCCCTCAGTAACCACTAATATAATTTCCGTCCCTATGGCTTTGCCTATTCTGAACGTTTCATGTAAATGACATCATGCATTATCTGGTCCTTTGTGACTGGCTTCATTCACTGAGCATGGTGCTTTCCAGGCTTATTCATGCT